TATTTCATTATTCTCAAGTAAGTAAATGAATGAAAGACTATATATTAGTTAATTAAAAAACAATATGCTATTATAACTTTTTAAATTCGTAGAGCAAGATAATGATTGACAGATGACTTAAAAGATTGCAAATTAAATGAATCAGAGAAGCAAGATGAAGGAAGCGAATTCCAAAGAACTGATGTTCAAAGAAAAAAACTAGAGGAATAAGAATTTTTGGAGCAGTTAGGAACAGTCACAAAAAAAGGATGAGACTTAATTGAATGGCGAGTGACAGGAGAATGAATTTCAGTAGATGGAACAAGGGACGCTAGCTCTTTAGAGCAGTGCCTATTATAGTATTTGTATAAAAGAAAAAGAGAAGCAACATCATGAGGATGTGACTGTGGTTGAAGACAGTGGCCTGCAAGAGCAGATCCAACTATGTTTACAATGCGTTTTTGCACCTTATCTAAAAAAGAAAGAGCATCATTAGAAGATCCGCCCCAGATATGGCAACAGTATTCCATACAGGGACGAATTTGAGATTTATAGAGATAGAGAAGAGAATCTGGAATAAAGAAGTGTCAAGCTTGATAAAGAGATGCAGCCTTAGCAAATGCTAATTTTGCAATGGATTTGATATACTATTTAAAAGAAAGATCAGAAGTAAAAATTAATCCTAGAAGATGAAAGGTAGATGACTCATCTAGTACATTATCATTCATAAATATAGAAAGATCTAAACTATTGTGATAACGATTGGCCAAAAAAAAATTGAGTTTTACCTGAAATAAAGTTCACCAGTCATTGTGAGCCCCATGCTGTAGCAGAGGTGAGATCCTTTTCAAGCTCAGATACCTCCTCCAAGCAATCAGAGAGTGTAGGCTTCTTTTATGACAAGAATAAATGGTAGTGTCATTAGCGAACAATGCCACCTTAGATGTGAGAATTTCTGGAAGATTGTTAATGTAAATTAAAAAGAGTATAGGGCCAAGTATTAAACTTTAAGGAACCCCTGAAGTTACAGGATATGAAGAAAAGTGTTGAAGTTACAGGATATGAAGAAGAGTGTATATAAATATACATATATATATATATATATATATATATATATATATATATATATATATATATATATATATATATATATATATATATATATATATATATATATATGTATACATATATATATATATATATATATATATATATATATATATATATATATATATATATATATATATATATATATATATATATATATATATATTTATTTATATTTATAACTAACTTAAAATTTTACTAACTACATCTTTCGAAAGAGAATTCTTAAATGTTATTTTTTTCTTGCTGAATTGACTAGGTACCTATTTTGAGTATTGCGGAGTATTTAAAAATTAATTTATAAAGAAAGAAGGTCTCGATAGTTAAAATAACTTCCAAGATAGTTATTACAAGAAAAAATATTACTTACATTAATCTTTGTAAAATTTTAAAATTTATCATTGACTTCATATATTTTCTTTAACTTTTTTTTAAGAAAAGCAAAATTTTGAATCACAGACTTTCAAATTTTGGAGGAGCTGAATCAATTAAAGAAGTTGTTACTAATAAAAATTCATGAGAAATTTTTTACTTTTCCATTATAAATTTATGGAAAAGTAAAAAATATTCTTAAAAGTGTTATTTTCTTAGCATTAGCATTTTTTTTTTTTTTAACTTTTCTGTTTAACTTTAAATTGTATCTAATTGATGTTTGACACTATCTATTTCTAAATTTTAACAAAACTCATTATCATTTTATTTTTGGACATATATTTTGTATTTTTAGCAAAAACAAAATTAGGGTTTACATCATTAAAAATGACGCTTAAAGTAAGGATTTAAGGAGACATTTTTCTATTATTTAAAGAGATTTGGTCACAAAAAACAATTTTTTAAAAGAAAAAATAAGCAAAATTAAGGAGAAAACAACTACATTGAAAACAGAATCTTATTTTTTTTAACAAATTTTAAATAAAAACAGAAAAACTATTATAAATTAACATATTACTTATATATACATACATATATATATATTTATTTATATATATATATATACATATATATATATATATATATATATATATATATATATATATATATATATATATATATATATATATATATATATATATATATATATATATATATATATATATATATATATATATATATATATATATATATTGTAGTTTTTTTCTTTAACAGTTTTATTGTTATATTATAAAATTTAAAATTATTGCTTATTTAAAACGATCTCAAAAGTCAAAGTATGTTCGATTGATTACTGCAAACGCCGTGGACACCGAAAAGCAAAGAAAAGCTAGCAGTTTGAAAAATTTGATAATAAAAGATTTTAAAAATGTGTTTTTTTAGAGGCTGAGATCTCATCGATGGATTATTTAAAAAAAAATAAAAAAAAATTAAGAAATTATACATTTAAACATAGTCATAATATCAGATATGTATATTATGACTATGATTTAAATATTAGCGTTATAATCATCCAAATCATTCTACTTTAGCTTGAGCGGATTCTGTGATAGATTATTACATCCGCCTGAATTATTACATCCCCCCATTGAAAACTCAAAACGAGGTTGCGCTTTCAGGTTATAGCTGTTAGAGGTGTACCTAAAGCGTCAGTATTGACATAACATAAACATAAACAACGAGAAAGACGCTTTGAGGACAAGAATTCGAGAACTAAAGTTTGCTTGGTCTCTTGTGATATTTCAACTTTATATTTTTGATAGGTAATATAAGAAAGGTTATATAAGAAAAATTGATAACAATAGAATTTATATAACTGTTTATGTTATATCAATACGGACGTTTTAGGTACACCTCTAACAGCTATAACCTGAAAGCGCAATCTCGTTTTAAGTTTTCAATGGGGGGATGTAATAAATCAGGCGGATGTAATAATTTCACGTTTTTCCGAACAAAAACATTAGTTTTTTTATTACGATATATGTAAGTTTTTTCATCAAAAAGTATGATATATTTGGTATGTATGAAAAGATTATTTAACCACTATTATAATCTGGTAAAAGTAATGCGACTATAAAAAATCGTCAAGCACAGTTTTATTTAGAAAAAATGCAATTTTTAACATAAAGTACCATGAGGCTTGGCTATAGATAAGTCTATGAATTTGATTTTTTCATAAAAGCACGTATTGGTGTTTGTTTTCAATGAATGTAACTTGACATTTTTAATCAAATAATATTTGGGAAAATTATCTATGAAAAACCATTTTTTTATGAAAATTGAAGTTACTATTTTGAGTTACTAAATGAGTATGTTTAACAATAATGTCACGTTAGATTTAGATAACCTATGGTAGTGTTAATTTTTCTACCAAAGTTGTTTTTTGCATAAATAATCATAACTTTTAGCCTCATTTAAAAAACTGTTTTCGGTATGTAGTATCTTTTTTGGAAATACTCGGGACTTATTCGGCCATCTTGAAATAATAAATTATTGCGTAAACAATTAAATAACAGAAGAGGTAAACTTTATAAACAAATTACTTTTAATTCGTTTGCATAAATTAAATACCAATAAATAGTTTTTCGGTTTCCCACTAATAACCAATCGGATTTGTTTTAAATTATCGGGTTTTTTTAACGAATTTGTTCGTTCTATGCCTTAGTTGCATTGAGTATTAAAAGCTATTTATTAAAAATCTTTTATTGCTAAGAATCTTGTCAGCATCATTGCTAATATTGGGCCGATTTCGGCTAAAACAATTCCGCTGAGCTCAACAAGTTTTGATTTTTATTTAAAAAGATAGTACGCATATTTTTTATTTTTTTTTAATTTGTTAATTTAGGTGCCCCAAGAAGTCCTAGCGGTCTTGTAACAGAGCATCGCGGAAATGCATTTAACCAGAAGGTTCACTCCTCTTTTCTTACCGTAACGCGAAATATGTCCAAAGCTTTGGGCCTGGATCTCTTGCTTATAAAGCAAGAGATCCAGGTCCAAAGCAAGTAATATTTGTACTTGATGTCATTGAAACATTTTTATTACATATTTTAAAACTTTCTTTAAAATGAGGTGTTGTTACATAACATACAGTAATATTGCCTGAGCAAGTACTAACCATACAAAATTGAAAAAGCTTTAGTAGTAAACAAAAACATGCATGTCGAATTATTTTTGAAGCAAATAGAGCAGAACCTTGTGAGCTTTTATTGTGTTTATTTGGAGCTTTAAATACTTCCAAGATATAGTTTAAAATTGAACTCATACTCAATTGAGTATCGTGGGCCATATTTATGGAATTTTTTTTCAGATATTATAAATAAAAAGTAAACCACTCTTGATTGATTTAATAAAGAATCTAAAAGGTTGTTTTTATTTATAGATCTCACTATGCTAGATTTTTAATGTTTCTTATAAATAAAGTAAAACTCTAATAAAAAACCAAGATGACTTAAAAAAAAAATTCTTTTAAAAGAATGTTATTATCACAAGCCACCATAACAAAATTTTTATAATTTCTCTCAATATAAACATATGTATATATCTCTTTTTTTTTTCTTTTTTTTTATTATTACAAGTATAAAATCATTTTTTTGCAACTTCTACTGCCTTCTTTTTCTTTTTTCAACTGGCTCCAGCCATTTCTTATTTTGTTGTATATATATATGAAAATTGTATTTATTGTAGAAGGCGAAATAAACATATTAAGAAAAAAAAAAAAAAAAAATGTTAATGGTAACAGCCGCCGATGGTACAGTACGATGGTACCGTACGATGGTAAAAATCTGGGATATTTTTTGAGATAAATCATTATGTTTCGTTGTTTAAAACACTCTTCTCAAAAATTAGTTACTAAATTTGTATAACGAATGTCTTTTTCTTTTTTCTTTTTTCTTAAAAGATTTTTCTGCAAGAGACTACATATCTCTCATAAATTCTATTATAAAGTTTTTTTGGATCAACATAAATATGAGGTCACGGAAAGCGCCGACTTTTCACGTAAACGGAAAAAGTAAACTTGCTTTACATAATAAGTTCAAGTTAACTGGGGTTAGCCGTAGCCTCGTCATTTTAGTGCGGTTGTGTATCAGAAATTAAGAAGGTGCTCATATTCAATCAACTGTTATCAAAATGGTATGTATTACAATTTGTTGTTTAATATGATACATCTAGGTTATATGAGACATCATATTGAGTCAAAAAGATAATGTTTAATCAAGTCCATAAAATGCAATTATCAATTTCAAATTTTTTGTGTTTATATAGATGTCAAAAAATTTCTTGCAAAAGGTTTTAGGAAAGATTTATAAAATGTTAACAATATGCAATATAACAATATACTGGCAATTAGTAAATATCTAAGCAATAGTAAGATCTCATCTCGTATATACTAGTTTAAATTTTATGATCCGCTGCATTAATAACTGAATAAATAGTAAAGTTCAAAAATTTTATTGTCTATTATTGAAAGAAATATTAATTTTTCCATTGTTTGATGCGAATTTTAAATGTGCTTAATGAAATTATTTTCTGTTTAATATATTTATTTTTATCCTCTTATTACCAAGTTCTTAATCTTATATGTCTAATATTCATTAACCTCATCTCCAAGTAGTCTACTTCCATCCATTTATAATCTTAAGGTTGATCTTTTTATTTTTTAAATAGAATCAAGACAACTGTAAGATCCAATACAATTTATAATATGAATATTTTCTTAAATATATTTGTTTCATAGACCTTTTATATAAAATAAATTATTTGACATTATCAAATATCAAACTTTGTTGCTTAAATATTTTTGTAATTTTCTTAAGCATGCACAATTATAAGGATATTATATTAGGTACATTAAATGAAATTTTTAAACTAATTAAAAACTAGAATGCTATGCATCATTAGAAAGGTCTTGACTGTTCTGTTGTTTAAAGATCAAAATAATAAAATCTTACAAATCAATCAAAATTTATGAGGTTTTAAAGAGCGATATTTTTGATATATGTTGATTTGTTGAAAAACTGCTGTCAAAATTTAGTTTTTCTGGACTTGTAATTGATATAACTTAAACTGATATAACTAAGTGCGATCAAAGTTCAAACTGATATAAGTGCACCAAAAGAACTTGCAAACATTCGCAAAGTGCGAACTGGTATAATTGCAAACTAGCGTAAGTACAAAACAGTTGCAAAAACTGGCACACGTGCCAGTTTTTGCAATATCAAATGAAACCTGAATTTCATTTTTTTCAATAAACCATTCTTTAGCCCCAGATACAAATGAAAAAGACCCTTTTTAACCCTACATTCATTTTTGTTAAGTCTAGGTTGTAATTTTACAACAAGATGTTGCAAAAGTTTATGAGTGTGCCAATAGTTAAAACTATAGTTCACATAGGGTAACCTTTATCACTTTTATGTGCTTTAATGCATCCATATAATCAAGGTGAAACAGAGTCAGAAGGATATATTTTATCATAAGTTTTTTTATCAAATTTTTTTTCCTTTTTTAGTTTACTGAAAATTTTGTGTAGGATCGACAGCAGAAATAGTGTAGTAATTTGTCCCTGTATGGAATACTGTTGTCATATTTGGGCTGGTTTTTCTAACGATTCACTTTCTCTTCTTGACAAGGTCCAAAAACGCATTTTAAATGTTGTTGAACCTGGACTATCTGCTAAGCTTGAGCCTCTTTGCCATTGTCGTAAAGTTGCATTTCTTTCTCTTTTCTACAAATACTATCATGATCACTGCTCAAAGGAGTTATTATCTCTAGTTCCATCAAGTAAAATTCATTCTCGTTTTACTCGTCATTCAGCTAAGTCTCATTCATTTACTGTATCTGTCCCTGCATGCTCTAAAAACTTTTATTCATCTAGTTTTTTTCCCCGCACTTCAATCCTTTGGAACTCTCTTCCATCTTCATGTTTTCCTGACTCATTCAACCTTCAACTTTTCAAGTCTTCTGTCAACCGTTTCCTTGCTCTATAACTCTGTTCTTTTTTTTTCCTAGTAACTCCCAACTTAATAGTGGTTGCTTGCAGCCTTGTTGGGAGTGAATGCAAATAAAAAAAAAAAAAAGTTACTAAGTTGTTCTTTAATTTTTTTTATTGCTGATTCTGAATCTAAAATCGCAAATCCACATCTTTTATCAAAAGAGTATATCTTTATTTCATTTGAGTTTTTTAGCTCATTTAAAGCTAGATATTGATTTTTAGAAAGATTACTAGCTATTTTTACATTTAAAAACTTATTTATTTTACTTATATATTTTACTTACATTTTGTCGCAAAAATTCAGCAACAAATTCATTAATAAATTTTTCTGTTATTAATAAATTTTTAGTTATAGTGTATTGAGCTTATTTATTACTATCACAATATTACTTTTAGTAATTGTTTTTACTTAACATGGTACTTTAAAAAGTTAAAGTAAAAATGCAAATATTAAAATATTTAAAGTACTTTAACAAGTTATAGAAAACTATTTAATACATACATGTTAACAATAACAAACGTTTTATTTTGAAAGTGTATAAATTGATATGGTAAAAAGCTGTAAAACAACAATAAGACTAGTGCATTAACTGTTTTAAACATCATAAAACTTGAACTTACTGTGAAGTTGCTTTGTCATTATAAAAAACATGTGTTTATAGAAAGCACTTATAAAATAAAACAAAATAAATAGAATTGTTTTAAATTTTAATAAATTAAAACATTGTCTTCATTAAACTTTGACTTCATATTTGCGCAAAAACATGCTATATCTATAAACCAACAAGCAAAAAAAAAAATGTTATATCTATAGACTAAAAAAAACTAAACATACTATATCTATAAACCAAAGCAAAAATTAGATAACACGCTTTTTCAAGTTTATTACTTTTTGATCTTGCATACTATTAAAAATTTAAATACAGTTAATTTTTTCATTAAAATGGTTTTTAAGTTGATGTTTTCATTTAATTTTTTTTTGTTCAAATTGTTTTGCAATAAAAAGTAAAAGAGAAAAATTGGGTTTAATAAATTGAGTAATGTATTTCCTTAAGTTTAAGTATATGCTTAAATTGTTTTTTTTTGGAAAAAAATTTATTTGAACAGAAGCAAAATAGTTATTTTTTTTTTTTTAAGTTTTTTTATTACTTAATTTTTATGTTAATGTTTGTGATAACCACTAGTTTAATGCTAGCAATAGAGTCTTTCTACTTTTAAAACTATTTTCACGAAACAAAAAATAACAAAGCCTATACAATATAATATTTAACTATTCAAAATGTTTACGATTTAAATAAAACTTTTTTCCTATTCTTGCTATGCCACTAGGTATTCAAGGTGTAAACTAGCTCTGTGGGGCCCAGTCAAATGCAGTATTCACAAATGCTAAAAAAATTTAAATTCCCAATTTAAAAGTGAAAAAATCTCATTCTCCTAATAAACCTTTCCAAATTAAAGTTGAATAACAATTTATTTTTAAAAACTTATAGAAAAATAACATAAAAAACTCTAATTTATTAATGGTGTAAAACTTGAAATAAAATTGCTGTTATTGGTATAACAAATTCTCAGTCGATGTAGTGGCACATCTTTGTAGTAGCAGGCCATAAGATAGTCAGTGTAGCTTATCACAATTTAATAATTTCACACTTTCACACTTTCACATTTTTCTTAAATTTCAGAGTGTTATGAGTATTAATGGGTCTGCTCTAGTAGCAATGAAAGGAAAAAATTGTGTTGCAATCGCCGCAGATAGAAGATATGGTGTACAGTTTCAAACGATTGCATGTGATTTTGAAAAAACATTTCAAATGGGAGATAAACTGTTTTTAGGTTTATCAGGATTAGCAACAGATATACAAACTGTGTAAGAAACAAAATTTTTTCTTGTGTTTATATGTTGTGTTTTATTATATATTTTATTTATCAAAATTTCTAAATTTTCAAAGATTAAATTTTCAGTGTGAGCTATTTTAGTATTAGTTGAATTTTTAAGTATTTAAAAATTTAAGAATAATATAGATAAGAAATTTGTAAAAAAAATTTGTTATCTATATTATTCTTTGCTTTTTATTAAGACTGAAATATTTTGGTATACCAAGAAAAACAAAGATCGCTGTCTCCATGTTAGTCAGTTCCTCAAAGTCATTAAAATATGTTGCAAGCTACAGACATTATAATTTATTCAAGCGTGTTTAGTTTCAAAGACTTTAGTAAATGACGTCGTTGTAGAATTTAATAAGAAATCTAAAAAAAATTTTTTATATATAAATTATAGATTTTTTTATTATTATAGCTTTTTTTAAAAAAATTGTTTTTTGGACTAAATTTTTTAGTTACTATTTATAAATCAATGGTTTTAAGTACTTTGCATTTCTTATTGTTCAAGATGCATGTTAAAGAATTATTTAATTAAAAAATTCATTTGTTTAGTTTTCTTTCGATATATAGTTTGTTATGCATTTAAAGAGATTTACTATTCAAATTGTAATTAGTTGTCAATATTATGCCATTCAAATTTTATTCCAAAAAAAAAAGTGCAGTTGCGTTTTAAAGATTTTTTGTTAAAACGGCTGGTAACGAATTAGTTAACCTTGTAAAAGTTTAATTAACAGCATTTATTTGGTTAACTTTTCATCATGTACAAAAATTCTCGAAATTCTTATTTAATCATGTGAGAATATGTTTAATGAAGTTTATTCTGTAAAACATATATTGCTTATTTTATTTTTAAAATTAAATAATTATTAGTTAAGATTGCAAAAAAGTGTAACATTATCAAGTCAACTTTAAAATTGAAATCATTTGATGAAAACTTTTTATTATCAATTTTGGTAGCTTTTTGATTTGTAATTTTACAGGTTTTAATAAAAAATTTGCCAAATATGACATAAATTAGGAAATATTAATTAAAATATGTTTTTTAATGTGCGCTGCAACACATTGATAATTTTATTTGCTATCTGTCTTGAATTATAGCCATAAAACATTATTACTTTAATAAAAAGCTGTCTGTAAATTTGTGTAAATCTATAAATATTTTCTTTAAGTGTAAATCTATTAATATTTTCTAACTAAAAATTTAAGAACTCGGCAGATATCTCTAATAAATGACGTCTTTTACCAAAATTCTTTATTAATTAAAAATTTAAGAATTTGTAAAATGTCATTTTAATAGGAGAACAAAAATGTCATAGTGATAAACAGCTTAGATAAACTAGAAAAAAAGTTCACTATGTTTATATAAAAAGAAAAAAGATTCAGAATATATATTAAGGTGATCGACATCTTTTTTGAGTATTTATTATATTTAAGATTTATTTATTATAGTTTAACATAAAAATCTTAATTTTATTTGGTTCTTGCGCTCTATAAGAAAACATTTTTTTGTTTAGTTTCCTATAAAATTTATAGGAAAATTGTATAATTGATAATAAAAGCTTATTTTAAAAAACAAATAAAACAAAAACAAATAATATTGATTCAAAAAAAAAAAAAAAGTTCTACAATGACATCATTTACTAAAACTCTAGAATTAAACGCGCTTAAATAAATTATAAAGTCTGTAGATTGCAACATATTTTTTTAAGACTTTGAGGAAATGGCTAATATATAGACAACAAGCTTCAAGTAAAACAAAAAAAGTTTGTTTCTCTTGGTATACCTTTATTATTTTGTTTTAATTAAAAAAATTCTGCCCGTTTTTTTTATCATTTTCTTTAATATGAACACAACTTGAACAAAGTGTCACCATTTTGGGATCCCTTTAAATTCTTAAAAAAAAAACATGTCTATTGTTAAGTAGTTAGTTTTAACACAATTGTTCAAAATATTTCATTTTGAACTTTAGATTTTGAATAATAGAAGGTTATTGAATTTATTGATTAGTTAAGTAATTGTTTTTTTTTTTTTAATATTTTGAAAAATTATTACAAAATTAAATTACAAAATATAATCTCGTTGTTTGAGAAAGTGTGTAAAACTATGATCAACCATCAATAAACTAAAGTCCCTCGAAATCTTTTGACTTTATAGTATCAGAGGTCACCAAACACTTAAATTAAACACTTTATTGAAATTTTAAATAAAATATTTAAAATAAAATTGAAAAAACAAAAATGTTTTATTTAAATTCTGAATAAAATTAAAAAAAAAAAACAACCACAAAACACATTTTTAATATTGCATAGCAAATGTATAAATTTCATTGAAATTTATACATTTGCTATGCAACAAAACTTGGTATGCCTAACTATCCATTCAAAATTCTAAAAACATTTTAAAAAATTCTTTTTTTATTTGTTACTCTGTAACTTTAAAAAAAAAATAGCAATTTAAGAAATAATTTTTTTATATTAAATATTGAAAAAAAAATGTAATATTAGTTAATTTTAATAATTAATTTAGTTATTTAAAATTAAAAAATTACATTTTATATTATATTTACATAAAAAAGTTCACTTTTCAATTGAACTCATTTTATATTATAGTCATATTATATTGCTTAAAATAACAAAGAGAACTTTATGACATCAAATTTATATTAAGCCAATGTATTAAACATCTTTTATACACACACTCACTATATATGATATAGAAAAGTTTTTAGAAATTATTTTAAATTTTGGGATTCTAGACCTAATAATTGATATCCAGAAAATTAAAAAAAAAAAAACTAATTAAAAGAAACTAATTTTAACTGTAATTGAACCTCTAAATACTAATATTTTTAGATCAAATTTAGCAAAGTTTCGAACAAATTTATATGAACTGCGTGAAAACCGAAAAATATCTCCAAAAGTATTTATGACCATAATGTCCAATATTCTATATGGTAGAAGGTAATTTTGCTGAAATTTTTTGGTTCAAAACTTTATTTTTTTAATTTAATGTTCACTGCTTTTAATTTTATTTCTAACAATCTTCAGATTTGGTCCTTACTTTGTTGAACCACTAATAGCTGGTCTGCATCCAAAAACCAATGAACCTTATATAGCATCATGTGACCTAATTGGTTGTCCTTGTGAGCCAGAAGATTTTGTTGTTTCTGGCACTTGTGGAGATCAGCTTTATGGTATGAAGTGACATGTTTTTTAAATTATTTGTAATATATAAAATGTGAGTTATTTTTTGAAGCTCTCATACTAAAAGTCTTTTAGCTTATAAAACAAAACTTCTTTAAAAGTCAACTTTATTAGATGAAAAATTAAAAAGATTTTGAAAATTGAAAAATTATGATTTTATTTCATATTAAAATCAAAATTTTTCTATAGAAAAAAAAAAAATTTTAAGTTTTTTTTTTTAAAATGTTTTCAATACTGGTACAATGTTTAATGGTCTTGAACAATCCCTAAAATTAATTTTTATAAGGTAGTTTTAAAAATCAATTATCATTTTATTACATAGTAATTAATTTTTATAAAGAAAAAGTTTTTATATTTTATATGAAAATATTTTTTATATTTAAAACTATTTTTTTAAGCCACCCTAATGTAACCACCATAAATCAAAATCTAATGAAACATGTGACTAAAAAAAAAAGTTTTTAGTTAAATTTAATTTTACATCTAATTTTTTTTAACCACTTAGTAGGCATGATAGAAATCTTTAAAAGCATATTGAAATTTTTTAACCATAAAACTTTAAAAAATGAGGGGTTTTAAATTTTATTGCTTAGAAGACAACATTTTATCATTTGAGCTTTAAAATATACTTTTGTGAAATTTTTAATCTAATTAATTAATCTAATTTTAATCTCCAAGGTAAAGCAATTATAGTAAATTTTTTTAAACATCTTTGCTTCCAACAAAGCTGCAAGCAACCACTATTAGAATTAGAAGTTACTGGACGAGAAAAGGAGGAGCATGACATCATTTCGGAAGAGCATGACATTATTTCGGAAGAGCATGGCATCATTTAGAAAAGGGTTAGGGTTAGTGTTAAAAATTGATAAAAAAATTTTGGATTGAGTTTGAGCATAAATTTTCATCCTGCTGGAATTTGTGGAACTGAAAGAAAAAAATATTTTTTAAACAACAAAGGTAATGCTAGCAGTTAAGTTGTAAATTTTCTTGTCGAATGGTTGTCATCAAGTTATAAATTTTCTTGTTGAATGGTTGCCATCAAGTTGTAAATTTGAAAAGAATTAAACAAGAATATGACAGCTCCTTTTGTTCTATCTGTTGCCTAGAGCTGGATACTGCAAGGAGTTTTATCTTTTTTTAAATCACTTTTAAAGAAACTGAAAAGGTTTTATTATGAAAAAGAAATTCATTTTACTCTGAATGCTGTCAAATAGTTCTGCTTCTGGAATTTGTTACCCTGGCAACAATAAAAACAACTGTTCAAATTCTCCATGTTTTTAATACTTCAAGAATCAAAATGTTGCTAATGGAATTTTTTTGTTTGTTTGCTAAAGGAAATACCTGTTGTCGCTGAAAGTACAAAAATAAAACTTGCAACTGAAGGAGACTTTTTATGTTTGGAGTACAGCTAATCACTTATAAAGCAAATAAGGTCTTGTTTTTTCAGATTGTGCAAAAAATAATGAAGAAGTGAAGAAAAGATGTTGGAAAATCAGGAATACAGGAAAAAGTTTTATGATGTCAAAAATGTATATTTAAAGTGCTAAAAAGTTATTTTTAAAAAATATATTGCTCATTGTACTGACTGATTTTTATGGCAGTAAATGATGTTTGTTTATTCAGGAAATTGATTTTTTTCAATTCTGTTGTATGTTTTAGTATTGAGTATAAAAAAAGCATTATTATTTAAGAAAAATTTTTCACCACAACATAAAAACTTCGCAAACAATTGTTAACAAATTGATTGAGTAGGAAAACATAATTGTTCACAGTATAATTCTGAACAAATAATTATGTTTTCCTTTCCAACTGTGATTTGCTGGTCTAGTTTTTTAATTATTGTGGTGAAACTAATACTTTTCTTGTATAAAAAATTTCGTAAATAATACTTGTTTATGAAATACTTGATTATGAAGATATTTTTTTATGAAATATTTAATTTATTATATATTTAAATATTTAAATTTATGGCAAACTGTACACTTTTATTTTGAATTTGAATTATTTTGACATTTTGTCAAACCCTTGATTGTTAAATAGAGTTTAGTAAAATTGTAAGGAGAAATATTATACATTAGATTACATTTCAAATAAGTTTCTGTCAAGCATGGAGAAAATTGCAACATTTTTTGCTCTAATCATCAAAATAATATTTTGCAAAAAATTACAGCGAATGGAGCACAGAAACAAAAATACCCATAAAATAAGCATTCCCCTGGTTGGGAAAAATTAATTAAAAAAAAAAAAAAAGATTGTTTTATCCTAAATAGGATTTTATAGTTTGGTTTAAATTTTTATTAAAATTATTTTGTTGCTCAAAAGATACACCTGTTTAAACAGCCAAAAAAAAAAATTTAATAATTTTTTACTGTTTCTATCTCATGTAAATCAATTTGTTAAAACCCATTTTCATATTAAAGACTCCCAAAAGGCAACCAAATGTTGAGAGTGCAAAGACATAATATTAAAAAGTTTGAAGACACAATGTTAGGGGTACAAAGAGATGACACAATATTAGTACCATTGTTGTTTATTATTGTTTGTTACATCTAAATCAACAAAAATGCAAACAAATTGTTTTATTATTAACAAATGCTTTAGTATATTTGCATAATTTGTGTGAAATGCTAAACCAAATCTCTTGGGATACTTAAATAACATGGATAATGTTACTATAGTAACATAATTATTGTTGAAATGTTTTTGCTATTATATTTGTTAACAAGAACTTTGTTTTTGCTTTTTAATTTATTTTATTTTTTAATTATTTGATGTATAAGTATATATCTTATTTTTAATTAGTTAATTTTTTTTTTTAATTTAAAAATATATTTTTAAATTATAACAATGTCTAGGTATGTGTGAATCGCTTTGGGAACCTGACTTGGAACCTGAAGCTTTGTTTGAGGTGATTTCTCAAGCTCTGCTCAATGCTCAAGACCGTGATTGTCTTTCTGGATGGGGAGCAGTTGTTCATATAATGTAAGAATTCCGGGTGTTTCCACTGCAGTCCCCTGCAGTTTTACATTAACACAATTTTTTTTACAATTTTTATTTTCTATTTTAAAAATTTTTAGTAAATTAAGAAATATTTTTTGTTCAGATCTCAATATAATCTGTTTTATTTAAATTTTTAAATAAAATATTTTGAAAAAATATGAAAAGTTGTATATTAATTTATTAGGGCTCAGTTTAATTTTTTATAAATTGCTGGTCAAAACTTATTTGGGTTGGACAATGTCAGATCAAATTTTAAAAATATAATTTTTACGGTTTTATGGGGCCGAGTTATGCAATTGAAATCTTTGTCATGTTATTCAGTTTATTTAACTTTAGTCTAGTGTAGTTTCTTTTCTTATTATTTAAAATATTTTTTGCATTTTTTTAATTAAAATAGTTTCAATTATATATTGTATGTTTTTTTAGATTTTTGAATTTTCACATTGTAAGACACTTATTTTTTTACAACTTGACAACAGCTGTTTTGATGTTTTAACAATTTAAATACAATTTAAAAAATCGTTGTTACGAATTAATCATTGATCTTTCTTAAAGTTTATTTTATGCAAAAGTTTTAAATAAAATCAAAAATTAATTATAATGATCATTTAAAATAAACATAAATTAAATGTTATATATATATATTTTTTAGTAGGTATGTCTTTTTTATGAGAAATTTAAACGTTTAAAACTATTGTTCCATGTCTTTCTAAAAATCTTTTAAAAGATTTTTAAGTTATTTTAAATTATACATAAGTTAAACTAAATCTTCCCAAGATTTAATTTTTTTTTTTTATTTGTTTCTTGTTTTACAAAGAATTGTTTATAAGATTTTTTTAGCAATATTTTAAAAGCATTGAAAAAGCTAAGGAAGTTTCAAATGAAACAAAGGAATTAATTATAAAAGCTGTGGGAAATAAAATGACTTACAGACAGATTTCTGAACTTTACAATGTTTTGAAACCAGGAATAAGTCACATGAAAAGATTTTGTCTGCACAAAACTATTGGAAAAAAATCTTGCTCTGAAAAACCTAAAGTTACAACTGAAAAGTCTAATAGATCATTAGTAAGGTATTCAAAAATTAATCCTCGCAAGACTGCTGTCGAACTTAATTTGTTTATGCATCAGTTTCATGGCACAAACTGTAGCATCGATACAACTAAACATCAATTACAACAAAATAATCTGTATGGTCGTTGTCCAGTTTAGAAACCGCTAATATCTGCAAGAATTTTAAAAACCACAATAAAATTTGCAAAAGATCATATTTATTGGTCAGTTAATGACTAATCAAAAGTCCTTTTTTCTGTTAAATCAAAGTTTATGCTATTTGATAGTGACGGAATAAGTTATGTTAGGTGCCCAGTAGATGACAGACTTAATTCAAAATATCAGTTACCCACTGTTAAACATGGAGCTTTGGGGGATGTTTTAGTCGTGACAATGTGGGTCTCATTCATCATATAGAAGGTATTATGGACAAGAGAGTTTATTTAGACGTCATAAAGAATCTTATGCTGCCACATGCAGAGCATAAAATGACTTGCAAATGAATCTTACAACAAGATAATGATCCAAATCATTGTGCCAGATCTGTTAAGGAATATTTTAAATCACAAAGAATCGAAGTTCTTGAAAGGCCTTCACAGAACCTATATCTCAATCCTATTAAAGAATGTTGGTATAATATTCCTCAGGATCTTCAAATGAATATGCCACCAAGTACTAAGTGTTTTATTAACACTATTTTATTGTTAAAAAATTGTTATTTTGTGAATTTTAGTAAAAGTTTCAGCTTTTTTGAAATAAATATTAATCAAATTCAGTTGTTTCTAAACTTTTGCACAGAAACTTTTTCAAGAAAACATTTAAATTTTAATTAGCCGCTCAATTTTACAACTTTTGTGGTTTGTATTTTAAATAGAAAAATATAGAGCACATTTGGTAAAAATTTCAGCTTATTTATGAAAGTTTGTGAAAAGTTATGCAATAAAAACTGAAAAAAGTTGGTGTTTCTAAACTTTTGCACGCTACTGTATGTGTATATATAAAAACAATTATCCGTTTAGTAGTAATACAATAATATCCATTTAGAAGTAATTAACTCATTCAACTTTTTTTTTTTTACACACACATGTGTGTGTAAAAAAAATGTTAACTGAAATAGTTTAAAAATTATTTGTAAAAAGTTTGAAATCAAACTTATGTTTACCATTATAAGAGCATTATTATAATTAAAATATTAAGTCACTAAAAAATTAAAAATATATTTAACAAAATCATGTCAAATCCAAGTATAGTACCAATATCACCCTCTTATTGATAATATGTAATCCAGTACATCTTGCCTTATGTCATACTCTGTCTAATTCTGGAGAGTGATCCGATTTGTCTAACTACCATCCCATTAGTCTTCTTCCTATCATAAGCAAGGTTTTTGAATCTTTAATTAACAAACACTTAATCTCTCATCTTGAGTCTCATAACCTACTTTCTGATCATCAATATGGATTTCGATCTTCTTGTTTTATGACTGATTTGCTATCAGTAATAACCGATATGTTTTATCGAGCATTAGATAAAGGTGGAGAGGTTAAGGCCATCGCTCTTGACATTTCTAAAGCGTTTAATAAAGTTTGGCATGCTGGTCTTCTCCATAAGCTTTCTTACAGTGTATCTGGAAACATCTTTAAGATTATTGAATCCTTCCTTTCCAAAAGTATAAAAGTTGTCCTTGATGGACAGCACATTTCTTCATATTCTGTAACCTCAGGGGTTCCTCAAGGTTCAATCCTTAGCCCTATACTCTTTTTAATTTACATTAACGATCTTCCAGATATTCTCACATCTAAGGTGGCATTGTTCGCTGATGATACTGCCATTTATTCTTGTCACAATAAGAAGCCAACTCCCTCTGCTTGCAGGGGGCATCTGAACTTGAAAAGGATCTCACTTCTGCTACAGCATGGGGCTCACAGTGGCTGGTGAACTTTAATTCAGATAAAACTCAATTTTTTTTCAGGCAATCGTTATCGCATTAATTTAGACCTTCCTATATTTATGAACGGTAATGTACTTGATGAGTCTCCTACCCTTCATCTTCTAGGATTAACTCTTACTACTGATCTTTCTTGGAAACGTTGTATCAAATCCGTTGCAAAATTAGCATCTGCTAAAGTTGCTTCTCTTTATCGAGCTTGACACTTTCTTACTCTGGATTCTATTCTCTATCTCTATAAATCTCAAATCTGGCCTTGTATGGAATACTGTTGCCATATCTGGGGCGGATCTTCTAATGATGCCCTTTCTCTTTTAGACAAGGTGCAAAAACGTAAACATAGTTGGACCTGCTCTTGCAGCCAATCTTCAACCTCTGTCACATAGTCGTAATGTTGCTTCTCTTTCTCTTTTCTACAAATACTATAATGGGCACTGCTCTAAAGAGCTAGCGTCTCTTGTGCCATCTACTAAAATTCATTCTCATGTTACTCGTCATTCAATTAAGTCTCATCCTTTTTCTGTTACTGTTCCTAAGTGTTCCAAAAACTCTTACTCGTCCAGTTTTTTTCTTCAAACACCAGTTCTTCGAACATCAGTTCTTTGGAATTCGCTTCATCTTGCTTTCCTGATTCATATAATTTGCAATCTTTTAAGTCATCTGTCAATCGTTATCTTGCTCTACAATCGTCATCTTTTTTCTTCCAGTAACTTCCAACACTAATTAGTGGTTGCTTGCAGCCTTGTTGGAAGCGAAGATGTTTTAAAAAAAAAAAAAATGTAGGATTTGCCATTCTAGGTTAAGGTTTGGCGAGTTTTGATTAGAAATATTCCTGCCTTGAATAAAGACTAGATATGGGAAAAAGACTCCAATACACATGCTTGGTCTCGTCTCAAACTTATCTATAGGCTTGAATCCAGTTAATATTTATTTTTTGTGTTTTATTAATGAGTTCCACTCAATAATATTGTTGTTATTAACGAGTTCCACTGAATAATATTGTTGTTATTAATGAGTTCCACTCAATAACTTGGCTCAAGAACCACTGACTTTGTTGGCTCTAAAGTTCTAAGTTTTTTTCTTTTGCAATCTCCTACTTAGATAGTTAATTTTGTTTTCCAGACAACCTTAATTATTAAGCTTCTCCTTTGTTTTTTGTGTTCTCTCTGACCAGAGAGAACACAAAAAACTTTTTTTCTTTTAGGTGGTTTAAAAAATGGTCTCACTAAAACTTTTATGCTTATTCTATGTTTACCTTTTTACACTTTTTACTAGAATATTTTAAGACTGTTTATTCTTTTCATGGTTTTGTTCATGATGGTCTTTAGAATGATTACTTTTGTCTCTCTGTGTAAAATTGTGCCTCTTTGATTATCTCATAGATTTAGGTAGGCATGAAAGCTGTATTCCTGCTCTTCTGGTTTAAAGTCAAGCCTTGCTTAATGGTTAATTTTTTTGTCCTGCTGCTTTTTTTAATGTAGTTCTTTAATTTTTAAAACCTCTAAAGATTTTTCTAACCCCTCTAACCCCTCTAATTTTTGACAAATCTTATTAGAAAAGTCTTTAAATTTTTAATTTTACTTCTAATATTTCATCTTTTGTTTTTAACAGATAATATTACATATAAAATCAAACATATAATGATACACACAAATAATTTAAGAACTTTGTATATAATTTATGCGTGTATGTACAAAACACAAGGCATAAACAGGTATAACTTTAAAAAAACTAGAGTTACTATTTATATTGACAAAACCACTTTGGTTGCAAATGTAAAAATATATATATCAACTAAATAATAAAAAACAATAACAACAGCAATAACACAAATTGCTGATACTTGAAATATATCTAGTATATATAGTATAGCTTTCTGAAAATCAGAAAAAAATACAGACTTTGACCGTCTTGTTCTACAGCTGACTTTAAACCACTATAACAAAGAGGTTTTGTTATTTGTTAAATAGAAGCGATGAGGCAAGTGCTAATGCTCTTAAAAGATAATTGACTTTTGATAAAGTATAATATGTCTTGTCTATATACTCCAGTTTTGAAAAAAGTTTTCACCTTTTGGTTGCCATTTCTTATTCTTAATTCCATTCTAACTCTATAAACCTCTTGTCTTTGTATGAAACAGTGTTACTAAATATTCGAGATAATACTTTTAATGAGACCATCTCTCTTTTTTCTAAAATCACATTATAAATGTTGTTGTATCTGCTCTAACTTGCTAGGTACAAGCTTCCATCTCGTTTTTTAATCAACTAGTATTTTTTAGAATAGCAGCTTTTTCTCCTTCCAGTTGAATTTATTTTTCTCGAATATGTCTTTGTATAAGGTTGCACAGCAATATGTATCAGAAGTTTTTTTAACTTTATTTCTTCTACCTGTAGTTAATAATGTTAAACTTTACTTTAAAAGGAGTTTCCAGCTCCAATAAAGTTTTGATGGTTCTATATGGTTTGTATATACTCCTAAATGTTTTGATGGTTATATATGGTCTTCTAAAAGATGTATGTAAAACATGCATTTTTAGGAGTATACCCATAAAATATTGACGCTGTTTACAGTGAATAATTTTTCAAAGAATTTTCTTGTTCCTGTGATAATATTAATCTAGGTTTTAGATGCCCTAAGAATGAGTTACCCTGTACATTAAAAATACTGTACATCACATTTACATTACTTTTACATGTAGCATTTTTGTTGAGAATGTGTATTATTCAAAGCCTTAAACATCTTTCCATCTAACATTAAGAGTATAAGGTTGTGTTTAACACAGAGCTGTGGAGTTGGAGTTGCGACAATTTTAGCAGAGTTAGAGTTGCTAAAAAATATAGTGACTCTGATAGTAATATTTCTTGGTATTGCACGTGTATGTACAAAACATTTAATTAACCTTATGTTCATACTAAACCTCAAAAAACGTTGCATAAATTTGTCAAAAAAAAAAATTTCATTTATCGTGCAATATTTTTTAAAGAATTCAAAGAATTTTTCAAAAAGTTTGCATTGGAGTTGGAGTTGTACTCAAAAAATTTCAACAACTGGAGTCGGAGTCGTTTTTTTACGACTTTTTTTTTACGACTCCACACCACTGGTTTAACAGTAATTTGACGCTGAGTCTTACAGATGTAAAGTTGAGATTCTTTTAAAAGTTTAGTTAATTTCGGTTCTTGTAAGTTCATTTGTTAATTTAAAAATAAACTTAATTGGTAAGCAATAAAGTATTCGTTTGTATGTTATTTTAACATACAATTGTATATTAACTTTAGTTTCTGTCATATAAATATGTTTATCTGAATGTTAACAACTTTTTGGATTTTTATAATTTGGAAACTTTTTCCTTTTTATGTTTTTTTTTAAAAAAAAAAAAAAAAAAGTTTTCCTCCCCGAGTCAAAGGGTCTTTTTAATTGAGAAAGTTTTTTTTTTTATTGTGATTACAACCCTCTTTTAATTTTTTAACTGCAAACACAAACCTTTACAAATAAGGCCACTGCATTTAGTAACAACTTGAGTGTAATGTTCCAGAGATGTGGTTGGGATCGAACTCAGAACTTTGAGCTTATGAAGCAAGGGCTCTACCACTACACCACAACCACATTTAAAAGTTAAGACTGTAATAAGTTGGTAATGTCCATAAATAAAGTCCATCGCATTAGATGCTCTCTGCATTTAACTTATATAACTCTAGATTTCCCAGCTTTTAATGCATTTAGAATCAGCATAATCTAAAATAACAAATTCTTGTCACAATTTAACTACCATCACAAATGAAGTCTTGATTTTATTTTTCTAATGACTTTAAACTTTTTCTTTGTGGCACAATAAATAATTGTGGCACAAAAAATAGTGTGCTACTTCAGCAGCTCTGATTGACTGAGTGGCTTTTTACTAGTTTACTAAGTTTTTAATTTTCCATTTTTTGGTTTTAAAGAGTGAGTTTAAAGTTCTTTTTGGACCCTCCTAAACTTTTTCTATTTAACAAAAAAGAACCAAGCTGATACTTCAAATTTTCCCTCTAAGTAACTTTTATTTTCATTTAAAAAATAATCCATCATCAGACAATGACAATTTTGCTGCAATTTTTTGAAAATTTTTGATCAAATACACAAAAGCTTCAAAAACCTTTCTGAATTTTATGTTACAAAAAGATGATAAAATTTTTGCAAAAGTAAAATTCATTACTGCAACAAAATTCATCATAATAACAAAATTCTTTTTTATTAAGCAGTATTACAAGACTGTAAAAAAACCCTGACTAGACATGGTACATTTGACCAAAAAAATGGCAAGTTATAATCAAAATTCTAAAAAGTTGATAAAATACCAACACTTATTGATGCCATATAATTTTTTTTTAAGCATCTAATAGAAAAAACAACATTTTTTGCCCTTTGTATTGCCATTCTAAATCCCTAACTTTCCAATTTCTTCTTATAAAATTTTATTAGATATGTTATCATAACATATGTAGTTTTCAGGATATTTTAATTGCCCAACTTACTCCTATGTTCAACTAGCCTCTTACTCTACCTTACCCTACCCTATATAATATATAAAAAGAGTTTTTAACAAGTTTATCAAGAGTATATATATGTATAAGATGTTTATAAAGAGTATATATATGTAAAAGAATGTTGACAGGTTTAGAAGTAAGTAAAAGAAAACATTTATTGGCTGAAACTGGGTTATGTGTATATTTATAAATAAAACTTGTAGATAATTTTAATAAGTGAGATATGTTTTTTTAGTACTACATTAAATCTTTCTTAGGGGTATGTTGGATTTAAGAAAATATTAAAAATGAGGAATTTGTGTTACAAAATATATAAGTTCTGCAAAAGCTTCTCAAAGTTCAAGAACTAATGATACTAAGTTCTGAGAAGTTTTAGATATGTCTGTCCTTAAAATCTTGTCAATAATTTTTTTCTGTTTAGTGGTTAGATACAAGTTGTTTTGAACGCATTTAAAGCGAACTCTTGTATGTGATTCATATTAGTCAAGAGATTAAGGAGCAATCTTGGGAAAACATTTTTCGGTAAGGATGTATGAAATCTTCCTTCACCAATTTTCCATTCAGTAATTACTTTTCTCCATGCTGATTTCATAGGTCTATAAACTGCAAGGTCAAGAGGCTGTAGCAAATGCGTATTATTAGGAGGTAAGAAGACAATCATAATGATGTAAGCTTCACAGATTTCGATAACATCAATAGATAAATGGCATGCTAAATTATCATCTATAATAAATTTTGGTGTGTTGTCAACATGTCTGAAGTAAGATATTACTAATGTTTGCATCTAATCTTTAAAACAGCAGCCATCAAACCAAACAGATTTTGTATGGTTATAGCGTGTACCAATTGGACCTTTAAGTATCCAAGTGTCCATCAGACGCTCAGCTTTATACACTGTATATGGAGGAAGAAAAACACCATCAGTAGTATATGCAAACATTATTGACACTGATGACTTTGATGTCTTTATAACTCTTTCAGCATGTTTAGTACCTTTCCGGAATATCATTTGTTTTGATTTTGGGTCAAAGGAAAGATTTCATCACAGTTTTGTGGTAGAATATTTTTTAACTTCTAAGTTGTTAAAAACTTACAGTCACATGAAGTTGCAGCACGCTTTCTACAAATATTTTGACATGCTCGATAAGACAAAAGACTTTTATGCCGCTCTAAAAATGATCTTACCCAATCATCACCAAGCAAATTTTCTTTAAAACATGGACAGTTTCTTCCCGATTTGTTAAGAAAACTTTGTACAAATAATTTGAGGTCTATTTTATCAAATACATAGCCAAATTCACTAAAAGTTGCACATTTACAAGGTTTCTCTATCAATAACAAGTTCGATAGGTCTTTTATATTTACTATCAGAGTAAGTTTTTGACTGTTTTTGAGTTGATTTTAAATAGTTTCTTACCATTTTCACAAATCTGTTATAAAGAAGTGAAAAATTTGAGCTTAAAACTCAAATTATTTGTATCTTTAAATATTAAATATATTATCAAAAATATTATAAGAATAAAAATAGGTGAATTTAAAAGGTGCTTATTTACCTATATAAAAATGCTCAATTACTCCACCTTACTTTAAACACCTATATTTTATGAACAATTCATTTATAAAACTTGAAAACTTGTAAGAGTTTACTTCAATATATGTATACTAGAGAAAAATTCAAAATTCTAAGCAAATTTTATCACTACAAATGCTTACCCTTAGTGTTTCCAATTAATAATTTTTACGGAATTCTTTGAATCTACACCGTGAAATAATTAACTTGTTATCGATTATTTATTTTCTTCCAAAAGAGTTGTAATTAACAACTTATACTTTCTTAAAGTTACTTTATGTATTCTTAGCTTGAAAATAAGCTAAGCATTAATATTAAATGTTTTATTTGTCTTTTTAAATGATTTTGTTAACGGGTGCGCGATTATTCCATGAAGTGCTCGATTACCCCTCGCTACGGTAAGTTTATTTAAATTAAGTAGCAGGTTGTGGCAAGTTTTTAGTTTCCACACCTGTAAGCAGTAACCTACACAGCCTAAAAACTACTCCAATCAATTACAAAGTAAAACGGATAGATTAGTAAATTCTAATAACAAAAAATATTTTGAGAAGCAAAATAAAAATAAATTTTTACTTTTTTTAGTGAAAAAGACAAAATTACTACAAAAACTTTGAAAGCACGAATGGATTGAACAAATGCAAAGCTTTTAGTTTTTATGTACATTCATACGTTACAAACTCAAAAGAAGGACGACGTTCAAGTTTAAATTGTAGTTTTTTTTTTGAATTTGTTATTTATTTAAATTACATTAATAATTCAATAGATAAATATTTTTATCAGACTAAAATGTTTCTATTTTTGTTTTCCTCAAAAAGCACATTTATGTACTTAGTACATAAGTACGTACAAGTGGTGCGATGTTGCATAATCTTATTTTTAACCCTTTGAGCGCGTAATAAAACATAAACGCCGTACGGAGAAACTGAACTAAAAAAAAAAAAATTTTTTTTTTTTTTTTTTTGTAGTTTTTAAAAGAATTTAAGAAATGCGATGTATTTAATTCATAGCTGTTGTGTGGTAATTTGAAAAGCATCCAGGGCACACTCCAACACAGCATGACTGACACTGCCAACTTGTGCGAACACGGGTTTGGTGCCCAGTTACACATTTTATTTTTTTTCCTGAACCAATTTTGACAAGGTTATGACCATATAAAGGAATGTTAATCACTGTGTTTTGAGGAAGTGGATATGGTACAATTGTACTTCTTGCCACTTCCATCTCCCTAGATGTTCGTCTTTTTGTTACTACTTTTACTGGTTGATACCCTCCAGCTAAACTTTCCACAAGTTTCCATCATAAAACTTATTCTAGACATAGGCTTACGTTCAATAGTGTTAAGCTTATACAATAAGTAGCAGTTACGGTGGTCGTCTAGTAAAAAAATAAAAAATACAATTTGCCATATAGCCCTGCCAAATAAAGAAAAAGCAACTTTTGTAGTCCACTTTATTGTCTTACGCTCTGACAGGTACACGTAGAGCACAGCTCTACGTGTACCTGTCAGAGCGTAAGACAATAAAGCTACCCCTCCTATGGTTCGATTATAAAGGGCAACCATGTTTGGCTTCATAACTAAATTACCTCTTCTGTTGCGCAATTCAGTAAAACCTGCTTTGGCAACAGTAGACAGTAATACAAGTTTTTTTTTACCATCTTGATATGCCACACATAACAAAGGACCTTTTCTATATTGGCAAACTTCTTTGTTTTTTAATTTTGTTTTAAGGCAGATTTCTGGCAGACCATTTCTGTTTACTCTCACTGTTCCTGTTGCTGTGGTTTGATGTAGATATAGATCCAATAGCAGTTGTGGAGAAGTGTAATAGTTATCAATACCTAAGTGAAAACCTTGATGGAGGATGTTGGCTTGACGCAAAAGACGAAAAACCAAGTTGTAAGTCATACAATGGGCAACAGCTGCTTCATCTGGATTTTTTTCTCCCTTGTAAATTTCAAACTGAGATAAATACCCATTGGTGCTGTCTGAAACACACCATAACTTTATTCCAAACCGAGAATGACGCTTGTTTGGCATATATTGGCGGAGATGTGGTGCCTTTCCCTTGTAACCAATCATGCTCTCATCTATAGAAATATCTTTTTGAGGAATATAAAAATAGAGAAATTTTTTGTTAAAATGTTCAACTTAATACTGAACTTTATAAATCTAATTTAGTTGCTGTTGATTAGGGATAGAGATATCAGTAAAGTGAATAAATTTAAGTAAAAGTTGAAAACAGTCACGATTAAAATGAGTAACAAACCAGGGAGTGGAAGCACAAGGATGACTAATATCCCAATATAGTTTAATACTAGCTTTTTTGATTAGACCCATATTGATAACAACACAAAGGAATGCCTTTATTTCTAAAAGATTTGTTTTTCCTTGCTTTATCCATACATGACCTATCGACAATGGATGAGATCTCAAATGCTATTGGTTACTTTGTATCCATGCATCAGCATACTGGTTGGTATAAGTTACTAACTTTTCCAAAAACTCTATAGTGAAAAATAAGTCAACATAGTCAATGGGATTTGACTCTGGTGAAATAGTATGTTTAGGTCCTGGTACACCAGTAAAAGCAAAAACATTAGGGCCAATATCATCTTCTACAACAGGAAGCCACAAATCTAAAACATCATCAACACCAGCATCATCATCAGAACCGGAGTCTACATAAAAATAAAAACTTCAAATGCTTAGATTTGGTGATATATTTAAATTAAATAATTTTGTATACAATTTTTCCATAAAAAATATTGTACCTTCATCAAATAAACTATCATCACTGCTACTTGAATATTCTTCGCTTGTACAACTTTCTTCTTCAGTAAAACTTTCTTCGCTGTCACTCATCTTTAATAAAAAATGTACACAAACAATATACCAAAAGATAGAAAAAACTGTGCTCTATTCAATGCTATCATTTTTAAATTTTGTTTTTTAGTAGTAGTTTTGTCTTGCTTGATGCTTTGGTTTAAAAAAGATTTATAAAAAAATAATAAATTATATAAGAAAAGCCTAAATTATACTTTTTAAAAATATATAACAGTGATAGTCGAAAATAAACGGAAAGCACAAAAAATTGATGTTTAAAAATGTAAATTTTGGTTTGTAAGAAATGCAAATCATTCGGATTTCTCCTTAACTACGCTAAGAGGGTAGGGTCTGCCGGGATAAAATGGGTAGAGCAGTTTATTAATTTTGTAACAAATGCACTATTAATGTATATGAAATACGTTTTAGTTTTTATGAAATAATTTTTATTAAAAAAAATTGTAATGGGAAATTACTGCGCTGTTTCTCTGCAGGATGTGCAGTCATTATGGTTTTGGTTTTCATGTGCTTTCACTAACAGGTAAAACTTTGTTGTAAAAAGTAATGTATGTAGCATATATTAGGCTGGAAAAATTCTTTTTAGTTAATAGTAACAGAATGTGAAAAACCAAACAATTTTAAACATAAGTTGAAAAACTAGAAATGTGGAAAATGGGTATAACAAATACTAAGATAGTAAGTTAATGCCAACAGTTTAGTTCATTTGGGACGATTATGAAAGCATTAACTTTTTAGTGTCCCAGTCTTATAAAATAGGCATATTTGTGGGTTTTATTGCAATAGCTAACAGTGAAAACTGGCCACACATTAACAGCAAACAATGAAAACTGGCCACACATTAACAATGATATCTAGTAGCATTTCTTATTATGTAATATAAATTAAATGAAGACCTCCACTTTACCCCTCAACCTGGCGTAAAATGGGTATAGGCCCTATCTAAAAAATTGTTAAATAAAAATATTCTTAATTGATTTCAGTTCTTAATAGGTTAAATGTAAAAGTTTTGAAGAAAAAACTCAGTAAAATTAATTACAGTTAAACCAGTGCAACTGCAAACGAAAATCATCTCAATTTTATACCCATTTTGCGCCGGTTGACCCTATTTCTACAAGGCGCATTTTATTGTGTTAAGAAAGGAAAAATTAATCCAGTGAAATATTTTCTTAATATCAATAATTTTGTAATCGCAAATAAATGATGAACAATTTTTTATTCATACTAACATAAACATTTGTACCTTTTTTTAATAAACAATCTAAATGTTGAAAATATTCTTTATTGAAAAAGCGAAAATTAAAAAGCAGGAGGAGTTTCTGGTTGCCAAATAAACGGGATGTAGCGTTTTTGAGTATTTGGCAGCGATACTCTAAAAAATATCTATAAAATAACTCTAAAAAATACAATTAAATAATAAATTAAATTTAAAAAAATAAATTAAATTATGAAAATTTTGTGAGAAGTATTTATTTTTTAATTTTTAATTTGTTTAATTTGCATTTCTGTATATCTGTTTCTTTATTCAAAAGAAACATTTAAAATTTAGCATTTTTTATTGTTCAAAAGAAACATATTACATCTATCTATCTATCTATCTATCTATCTATCTATCTATATATATATATATATATATATATATATATATATATATATATATATATATATATATATATATATATATATATATATATATATATATATATATATATATATATATATATATATATACATATGCTAAAATGTTTTCGTTCAATTCTATTTTGCCTCTGTAAGAAGCTGCTTGATATTTTGCTTTAGGTCCTAATCTAAAATTGAACTTGTCTCATTTTAATATACTTTAACTATAAAAACAATATTAAAAAGCATTATGAATAATTTAAAATATAACTTTTTAAGTAATTCAATAATATCATAAACAGCTTTCAGAACATTGACATTTATATCGTCAAATCCTGCACTCTTATTTATTTTTAATTCATTAAAAGATGCTCTAAGTTCATTTACAGACAATTCAGACTCATCTATTACAGAATGAGCTGTTTTTAAATATGACTGGAATGTTGTTTTTCCAGGAATTATATCAGCAGCTAAATTTTTTCCGATGTTTATAAAGAATTTGTTGATAATGATAATGATGAATGTATTGTTTTCTATTCGACGATTATTTTATAGACCAAAATAAATATAAAATTTTTATTTCGCAGTATTTGAGTTTTTTGAAAAGTGAAAGATAATTTACGGTGTCAAAAACGGTCATTATTGAATCCGTTAGTAATATGTTTTACTGACCTGACTGCTGCTTGGTCGATGAAATGTTTTTTTTTAAAAAAAAACTGTTGGCTGTAAAGCATATGATGCATTTATAAAACTACCAACGCTTTTAAAGCGGCAGTAGATCTAAAGTATTTAAACACTACTCTCATGAAAAGTTACCAGAATGATATTTCTCTTATGATCAAGGCTCTACTTGTTGCACTAGCGGAAGAGAAACGATCTAGTGAATTGAGAGAAAAAGCCCTGAAAGACAAAATTGATTTACTGGTAAAACAAGTTAATGAGTTGAAAGAAATAAAACCAACAGCCACACCGTCACTCAGCCGGCCACACGTCATTTTTTTTTCGGAAACTTGGTTCTAAGATTTATCAGACGTTGCCGTACCAGGTACCAACCACATTGCAAAGACAGAGACAATAGGGGCGGTTGAGTTGCAATAAACACAAGAGACGATATCATAGTCAGCAAAGTTAGTTCTACTCAGCTCCACTCAACATCAATTGAGCAAATCTGGCGAAAAATAAAACATGGTCAAGAATCATTTCTCCTCGGCTGCTTATATTGTCCACACGACGAAAATGATCAAAATCTTACTCAGTGTATCACATCGATCACTACCGCTCAAAAAATACTGCCTAAAATAAACTGCTCTGCAATGCTACTGTATGGCGATTTCAATTTTAGTCATACACCTTATGAGCCTATTGAAGTTAACGGTGGCATTGCAACTATTGCTTACGTGAGAGGTGAGCGTCAAGGCGAAATCAGGTTCCAGAAGTGTCTTAATGAATGTCACTTATCTCAGCTTATCACATTCCCAACCTAACGTAGTAGTCGACACGTTGAGCCTACTAGCACACTTGACCTTATTATAACAAATGAGCCAGACCGTGTAATCTTCATTAAACAAAGCGATTCTCTTGGTGACACTCTAATGGGCCAAGCACACTGCTTCATCGAAGACCATTTTGCTGTTGCATGCCTCAACAATTCGCCAACTTTGCCGCTAAAACCTTGACTCATTTGGAGTTGAGCAAACTACGCATCAATATCAGCACATATTGCAGCTCTTGACTGGGAAACAGTATTCACTGGACTAAATGCAAACGAAGATTATCTACTTCTAGCAAACGTGTACAATGAAGCCACTAACCTACACATTCCGTCAACTACCACTCCCTTTACAGGAAAACAGGAGCAATGGGTAACACCAGAACTTATTGAGGCGGTCAAAGCTAAACGCACCTCTTGGACCAAGTACATTAATGCAGGTCGAGATACGCACAAATTTCTCAAAATATCGCATCGCACTGCCTGAAAAAAAGTTTAAAAAATGGTCAAAGCTGGTAGGCAGAAGTACGAAGAGCTACTCGTCAGGGATTCCGAAAGCAACTCTAAACGCTTACATGCATATATAAGAAGCAAGCAAAGCGTCAGAAATAACATTACATTGCCTGAAACAGTCAATAGCAACATCACAACCGATACTGGTGATATATGTGCATCGTTAAATAACTATTTTCAATCAGTCTTTGTTTTAAAGCCCGAAGGTTTAATGCCAGCCTTTGAAAGTCTTACAGAAGCAGTTTGTGTCATAAATCCAGCAATTTTCTCTATCGACATAGTACAAAAATGCCTAAACAGCTTTGATGAAAGAAAATCAACCGGCTACGATGACTTACATCCACGGGTCCTCAGTAAATGTTCATCTACCTTTGCCAAGCCTCTTTCGCTTATCTATAAATGCTCGTTTGCAACTTGTGCAGTTCCTGAGTTGTGGAAAAAATAGAATGTAACACATCATGACAGAAGCAATTCAGTGCAGACACGCTGTAGACGTCATTTACACAGACTTTGCAAAGGCGTTCGACAAAGTACCACATAAACGCCTCCTTCATAAGCTGAGAGCGTACGGTATTCAAGGCGCTTTCGTTGATTGGATTGCAGCTTGGTTAAACAATCGATGTCAACGGTTATAAACAGCATTACTTCTGAATGGAAAGCAGTCACTAGTGGAGTGCCTCAAGGCTCGGTCTTGGGCCCATTGCTATTCGTAATCTTTGTAAACGACCTGCCGGATAGAATTACTCATCATATGAAACTGTTTGCCGACGACAGCAAAATAATAGGGATAGTTAAAAAGGAGTCGGACAGCATCACTCTCCAAGATGACTTTGACAGAGCAGTGGAATGGTCACATATTTGGCTCTTGCATTTCAACGTTGAGAAATGCAAAGTAATGCATGTTGGGCGCGGATGTAACAAGTTGACGTACAAATACTCAATGTCTAACGTCAACGGCACCCGTCGTCCTCTCGAAAAAACCGCAGTCGAAAAAGACCTTGGTGTGATGGTCTCGAATGATCTTAAAGTCAGACCGCAAATAGAGTCAGCCACATCAGTAGCAAACAGAATAGGCGACTCAAAAAAAAATTTCGCAGTCGCAGTTTTTATTTATGGCGAAATACAGCAAACTCATGACTCCATCTTGAGTTGGCTGTACAAGCCTGGTCACCGCATTTAAAATCAGACATTACCATTCTCGAGCAAGTAAAACAACGAGCAACAAAAACAATATCGACTATTAAACACCTGTCCTATGAAGATCGACTCCAACGGCTGGGTTTAACAACTCTTGAAGAACGCCGCAAAAGAGCAAATCTTATCGAGCAATTCAAAATCACTCGTAAACTCGAGCTTGTCAGTTTTTTCGTCCCGTAAAAATTTTCAAAAAGTAAAGATAAATATATTCTAAGAGGCCATAACCATAAAATAGAACGTCAGATGGTAAAAAACTGTAAGGAGCGACATAACTTTTTTTCAAACAGAATTGTCGCCTTATGGAATGCGCTTTCGCAAGAAGCAGTGAACGCTCAATCCATCAACGCCTTTAAAAATAACATAAGAAAGTAATTTTATAGATACAACTGCTGCTTTGTCTGTAGCGTCTGTATCTCCATGTTCGTCAGCATAGAGGGGCCTGGTGTAGCAACTCTTCATCAAATTATAAATGGATTATTGTATTTGTATTTGACCACTGAAATAAATAATAATAATAATATCAAATACGTGTTTAACGATAATGCTAAGTTATAAACTGGACTCTTGTTATTTTTTAGACTTAATAAAGCACTACGCAACTCAATTATATCTAGTTCGGAATTATATATATGTGTGTGTATATTTTTTGAAAGTAGTTAAATAGGAATCAAATGGTGAAGAACTCAGATTCGAGATTACATTAGTATTACGATTTCATTGATAGTTTTTAACATTAAAATTATGAAGCTTTTGAAACATTTTTTTTTTTTTTTTTTTTTTTTTTTGCAAAATGATAGCAAAAGTAACTTGGATCAACAGCTGAAATTGCATAAACATTTTTTTTACAAAAGGGAAAAATTACAAGGGAAATTTTCTAGAAGTAAAAGATAATTAACCCTAACCCTAACCCTAACTTATCCGTTGCTATGGCGTAGCTAAGGAGTAAAAATTGCATTAATTCTTTTTTTAAACTTTTAAAGCATATAATAGTAAAAATACAATAAGGACTTGGCACTTCAATATTTGATATAACAAAATTCATAACTAATATTTCTTTTTTTTTTGGTTTTGAATCATCTTAAAAAACTTTCTACTGACTTTCTAATTTCAGCACAAAAAAAAATTCCCCTTATTTTCGTGCAGCGCGTTTTAGAAGAAAATGTACTACACACTTAATATCTTATATATGTTTTACAATTGTATTCGATGAACAATTTGATACCACCAACGATTGGATAGCAACCGTTATTCAATCATACAAATCATTAAAATACCACTCTATAGTGGTATTTTATTGATTTGTTTAGTACGGGTTAATATCTACAAAATCTTTTGCAAAACTAGTATCGGTAAATAAAAATAATATCAGTAAATAAAAACAGTATCGGTAAATAAAAATAGTATTGGTAAATAAAAATAGTATTGGTAAATAAAAATAGTATCGGTAAATAAAGCTAGTATCGGTAAATCAAAATAGTATCGGAAAATAAAAAAGAAATTAATTAACTCTAAAAGCAAAAAGTGTTTGCAAGAGAGAATAAAGTATTGTGGTTTTATTGCAAGTATAAAATTTTATATATGCAGAAGTTTCTGCGTATCAGAATTTCTGAGAATCATATTAGACGTTATTATATTTATTGTCATAAAATTTTAATCGCATACAATAAAAGCTTTTTTTTCACTTAAAGGTGCTTTCATTTGGCGGATTTAGTTGGTTTGAAAACTTTTGATAAATATAGTACTAATACTCTTAGCCTGTCTCAGCATGTTATACAGAAAATCATCGATGCCGAAAAATTCACACTGAGGGACTATGCTACCTTCGTTACTTCGGTATGATAGCTAATTTCACTTTTAAATAACGAAATGATTGCAATAGTATAAATGTAATGGAACTAAAAATATTTTTGAGTTTTCTTACTGGTGTATTTAGTACAGTCAGCGTTGCAGGTAAGTTTTCTTGCATTGTTAAGTATGAGTTTGAAGAATAAATTTTGATTTCTTTAAACAAACCAATAACGTTATCGTTGATGCACGTTTGACATCAATAACAATCTAAGGTGCAGTTTTTAAAATTCTATTCATCGACAAAATTGAATGCTATAAATCAATGGAAAACTGTCGTTTTGAAAACTATACCCCGAAAATATTTATCGGTTATTTTTAAAACAATAATCCAATGTTTTAAAGCAATTAAAATTAACCAATTAGTAAAGTAGTAAAAAAAAGTAGTAAAGTTGTTTACTGCTTTTAATTTTTGCAATAATAATGACATTTTCATATTGATGAATGACAACACTCTTACTGAGTCCTCTGCTTTAAGTTTTTTAAGATTATCATTCAAAACCGGCCTCTCACGGAAACCATATATACTGTCAATTGCAAATTTATGCTAAGTTTTTAGTTTATATAATATTGTTAAATTTTATTTTTGGGTATTTTGTTCTCAGGCTTAGGAGCTGTGACTAAAAGTAATTTAAATTTTTTTTTCATTCAATTTCCTTTTTTCCATCCAATATTCAACCAACAATTCTTGCAATAGCGTGTTTTTACACTTACCGTCATAAGTGGAAACCATGTGCAGATAACAATAGAATTGTAATAGACCAATCAATATCATAAGTTTTTACGAGTGATTTCTATTGGTACAACCCTGATGGTACATTTTGCGCTAAACTTGAATATATATATATATATATATATATATATATATATATATATATATATATATATATATATATATATATATATATATATATATATATATATATATATATATATATACATATATATATATATATATATATATATATATATATATATATATATATATATATATATATATATACATATATATATATATATATATATATATATATATATATATATATATATATATATATATATATATATATATATATGTATATATATATATATATATACTGCCGTCCATAATTATTCGATATTCATATTATTCGAATGGCATTTACTTTTTTTAAAAATGATATTTTTTATTTAACTATTTTTTATGTTTATTTTTACACTATTAGATAATTTAAAAGTATTTCGGTAAATGCTAAGATAAAAATCATAAGAATAATAAAAATTGGGCAAAAAACTTGTTAAAAAACTTGTTAAAAAATGGACCATTAATAACTGTAAACGCGGACCGACGTGTCGAAGTTTTAAATTTTTGGTTTCAAAATAAGATTGTTTGTGAGGAAAAAAAATCGATGAATTTATGATAAAAATAAGGAGTATTATTGACTGTAAAACATGGTGGATGTAGTGTTAAGGTGTTTTGGTTAGAATACCAAAAACTAGTTTACTTGTACACTTAAAAAATTATGCTACACCTTCGGAAATATGGATTAATGAGAAGCTATTTATTTTTTCAAAAAAAAATGACTTGAAGCTTAAATCTAAAACATATTTTTCGAAAACTTGTTTAAGTTATTTGACTGAGTTCGAGAACGATTAAATTGATTTAGCCTTCCCAATCACAAGATCTCTCTCCTATCGGATTTTTATGGGTGATTTTATTTTAAAAGTAATATCAAAAACTAATTCCAAATGGTGCATAAGATGTGGATAAAACATATTAGTTAGTGGCATAAAACTAACTTCGACAGATTTGATAAGTTGCTAAGTAGAATGCAAAAAATATGTATGGCGGTTATTGTCGCTGAGAGTGATTAAAAGGCAAGCAAATTATAAATTAATCTTATTGGATTTTTATTAATTTTTTATAAACCTAATAAAAAGTAAGATAATTTATAATTCAGGTAGACTTTGCTTACAGGTTCTCTCCCAATAGTAAGTAAAACTATGATATCTTATTTCGAAAAGTACAACCATTCGAATAATTATGGACGGTAGTGTATATGGTCGTGGTCTTGGTCTTAGTCTTGGTTTTGGCCTTGGCCTTGGTCTTGGTCTTGGCCTTGCCTTAAGGCAAAAAATTGGAGTCTTGGTCTTGAAACTGTTGAACTAGGCCTTGGCCGTGAACATTTTGGCCTTGGTCATCCACCTTTTCTTAATAATTTCAAAACTTTCTGTATTTGCATTTTAAAAATTGTTCTACTGTTGAATTTGTTTACGAGAGTTATTTTTGTTTACTTGAAAACTTAAATTTTTGTTTTATGTCACGGTTTAAATTGTCATTTTTGATTAGCCATTTTAAAACAACACTCAATGACATGATGGTCAACGAAAATTTAATACATCCACATTGGTTAATAATACATCCACATTGGTTTTAACGTTTTTTAAAACATTTAAAAAAGAAATTAAAAAAGATTTAAAGATTTTACAATTTTTTTTTAAATTAAAAACAAAATTTTATAGGTTTTTTGAATTAAAATAGTTTTTGTTATATTTAAATTATAATTTATTATAAAGTTTTTTTTTATTTATTTATGTTTTTATACAACTTATCTAAGCCTGTTCAAAAAAATTGTTGGTGATGTATTTTTAAATGAGTTTTTTTTTTTTTTTTTATAATTTTATTTATATAATCCAATAACCAATAGTTTAATTATCCTTCTTTAATAGTTCGGTCACTAAAAAAAAAATGTTTTACAAACAAAATAGTTTTGTCAAACTATTAAACTATCTTAAACGAATAAATCACTAGATTTTAATCAAAGACAGTTTTCTTTAAAAAAAAAAAACTGTACACAATGAAACAATATACTGCAGTCGTGCGCAGTGGTAACTCATTTGCCTAAGAAACAAAGAATCCAAGGTTCAAACCCCACCTATGGACAAGTTTTGCCACGAAGAAGGAGGCGTGAACCTCCTATTACATGCTCATCCGAGGTGCTCTGTGATAAGACCGTAAGATCTTTTTTTTTTAATTTGTTATTTAGGTGCCCCAAGAAGTCCTAACGGTCTTGTCACAGAGCACCACGGAAGTACATTTAACCAGAAAGTTTACGCCTCTTTCCTAACCGTGACACGAAATATGCAAAACCTCGTTTCGAACCTTGATCTTTTGCTTATAAAGCAAGCGCTCTAACCACTACGCACAAAATAAGGACCTTTTTTTTAGGTACCATCCTTTCAATTGGCGCCCTTTGGATATGTGCCGCCCGGTCTTATCACAGAGCACCGCAGTATATAATAATATTATTATATATAGTACTATTATAATACTATTATTTACATTCTTTGTCTCAAGAGACAAGAAAATGTTATTTTTATATGAGTTCGTGCACGACACAATGTACGTGTGCTAGTTGAGACACACTGAGCCATATAGTGCCATATAGTATGAACACATAGTGCGGCCGTGGTGCAGTAGTTAGAGCGTTTGCTTTATAAGCAGGAGATCCAGGTTCGAAACGAGCTTTGAACATATTTTGCGTCATGGTAAGGAAGGAGGCGTGAACTTCCTGTTTAAATGCACTTCTGTGGTGCTCTGTGACAAGACCGTTTGGTCTTTTTGGGGCACCTAAATAACAAATAAATAAATAAATGAAAGAAGCTGAAATAGCCCAAGAGAAGTGAGGCAAAATTGATTATTTAGATTGTGTAGTGTTAGTGTAAATTTAAAAAAAGTTGGAAAGATGTCCAGTCAGAAAGAAAAGACTATACAGAGAAGAAATAGAAGGTGTGGTGGTGGTGGTGGTGGTGGGGGGATGGAATTTACCTGTTTTATTTGATATTTCTCGTGACGTTTGACTTATATTTGTCTTGTGTTGGTTAGGTTTTGCGGGGGACTGATCAGATGTTGTCTTAAGGCAAAGGTCAAAGGCCAAGTTTTGGTAAAGAAAGTTCAGATATTAGGAGGGCATAGGTAGAGGAGAGCAGGGTAAAAACCACATCATTAAAGGTGTAACATATTTATTGTTTATAAAATACAATTTTATTATTTACAAACACAATTCTAATTACATGAATCATCAAAGGACAATGCTTCGTGTTATCTTGCCGTCGTCGTTCTTCTGGGAACAGTGTATTGCGGGGCTTGCCCATGTCTTGTCTTTATTTATTTGTCTTTTATAGATTTGTGGTTTGTAGAGACTCTCATTGGTTTGTACGGTAGGATGCGGTGAAGGTAGTCGTAGTTTTTAATGATGTTCCAATGTTTTATGACAACCTCTTGTATTTTTTGTCCTGTGCAGTCAAAGGGTGGGATGATAGGTAAGATGTGTGAGTTATTGTTGTAGTTAATGCCGTTATTTTTGTTTGTGGCTTCCTTTGGTTTGCCGAGCAGTACTTCTTGAGTTTTGTCGATGGTTTTTTGGAAATGGTGGTTAATCACGGCTAGAGGGTACCCTTTTGTGATAAGAATTTTCGCCGGGTTTTTGAGTTCGTCTTCCAGGTCTCTCGTGTTCAAGATGATTTTATTGTATCAAAAGGCCTGGCTGTATGCAATGTTTAGTTTTTGATGCCTTAGATGGTTAGAAAAGAAGTTAAATAGGGGTATTGTGTCAGTTGGTTTTCGATGTAGTGTTGAGAAAAGTCTGCCATTCTCGACTCTTGCTTAGCTTGACGTCCACGTTGAGTGTGAATTTTATTGATTTATGTAGGTTGTTCATGTAGTCCCGTAAGTCTTGGGCACCTAAAAAACAAAATAAAACCAAAATGTAAACAAAATTTTGAAATATAGACAAGTATTTCTGTGTATTTTGTAAAAAGTTAAATGAAAATGTACAAATAAATAAAAAATTTAATTTATTTTGTACTCTAAATCATCTTTTATCTTTATTATAACGCAACTGTAACATAATTTAAAACAAATTAAAATCTTTCCAAAAGGCTCGAAAAGAAACAATAAAAACCCCCTAACAATACGCAATTGTTCATGGTTTTTTTATAACATCGTAATAAAGCCGCAAGAACATATTTGTTCCGGTACATTGAAAAATGCATTAACGCAAAAACCAAAATTTTCTCTCCTTACTTCCCAATGTTTACGGGAAAAAAAAGTCAGCCGAAATATTGTCTATATGTATATTTGTTTTTGGTTTTCATATTACGTCCAAATTTATTTTCTTACTGACTTTGTCAAATTCTGCACATAATCTTGATATAATTTCTGCAGATAACCTTGATATAATTTCACAACATGTGGTTTTATTGTAACAACATTTGCTACCTTCAATTTTGCTAACAATTGATCTTAATGTAAGGCCAAAAATTAAGTCTTTGGCTTTAAAAATGTTTGCGTAGACATTAGCCTTGTAACTCTTGTTCTTTACCTTAATACTCTTGACTATGGTCTTGAAACTCTTGGCCTTGATGTTGATCTAGGCCTTGGAACCTTATAGCCTTGGCCTTCTTAACAACTCTGATACATAACTATTTACCAAAAGTTTCATAAAGTTTGCACCAAAAATGTCACAGATAAAGTTTTTTCTCAATAGTGGCATTTCTGGACCAATTAGCGGTTATTTAATAAATCATTCAACTGATCACGCTGTTATTTATGTAATTTAAAAAATCAGCGGTTATTTAAAAAATCATTCAACTGATCACGCTTTGATCGAGTTAGTAACTCATTTAATGATGACCGTTTTACATTAGGAGTGTTTATTGATCTGTCTAAAGCCTTTGACACAGTCAACCATGTCATTCTTTAAAAAAAAACTTGAATATTATGGAATAAAAAACAATAACTTACTATGGTTTAAAGAATACTTATCAAACAGACAGCAATACATTCAATATGAAAATGTTAAAACGACAAAAAGTATAATAAAATGTGGAGTTCCTCAAGGCTCAATCTAAGGACCGTTACTGTTTTCTCTTTATATAAATGATCTATCTCTTACATCGAACATATTAAACTTTATTTTGTTTGCGGATGACTCTAATCTGTTTTATTCTCATAGGGATATTAAAACCCTCTTTAAAGTAGTTAATGAAGAAGTAAACAAAGTAAATAATGGTTTATTTGTAATAAACTTTCACTTTACGTTAACAAAACTAAGTTTATTCTATTTCACAAACCAACCAAAACAGGAAATCTTCCTTTAAAATTACCCAATCTTAAAATCAATAATACAAATATTACTAGGCAAACAACTGTAAACTTTTTATGTATTATTTTAGACGAAAATTTAACTTGGAGGAAACATATAAGCACTCTTGAAAGAAAACTTTCAATAAGCATTGCAATAATGTATAAAGCAAAACCATTTTTGGATATAAGATCTCTAAAAAGTTTATATTTTTCCTTTATACATAGCTATCTAACTTACGGCAATATTGTATGGGCATGCAACAGCTACGCTAAGTTAAAGAAAATTTATACTAAACGAAAACATGCAGGTGGAATTGTATTTGGAGTAAAAAGAACTGTGCCTTGTGAGCCACTTTTACTTAAACTTAATGCATTAAATGTGTTTAAAATTAACATATTCCTCGTCATACAGTTCATGTATCTAATAAAATATGGACTGTCTCCAGCAATATTCTATCCTTATTTTAGAGAAGTAAACCATAAATATCCCACCAAGTTCTCAGAAAATAACTTTGTAACTCAAAAGTATAATCTAAAGTTATGTTCTTATTCTATTCAGTACCGGGGTCCAATTTTGTGGAAAAACTTTCAGCATATTGTTAATATTAAAGAAAAAAACATTTCCACAATTCAAATCTAAATTAAGACATCATTTAGTACTTACGGGTTTTAATATAGCAGATCTTCTCTGTCACTTTTAAAATTTTAAAATTTATTAAACTAATTTGCACCATAAATTTAAAAATCTAGACCATTTAACAATGTTAAGAATTTCAATGTTTTTATCATACTTTCATTAAAAATATATATTCTCTTAAAGTTACCTACAATTTTCTTGATATATTTTATGATATTGGAACAAAAATTTTATTTGAATTTTGAATTATTTTGAAAGAAAATAATATATACAATATATATATCGAATCACATCCAGTTTATAACCAAAAACAGAAACTTTTTGTCATTTTTATTACTATATTTTAATCATTTCTTTTTCTTTTTTTTTAATTATTTTAATACTTTTTATTTTTTTTTAATTTTATTTCTTAACAATTTAAAATTGTCTTTTTTTAAATGCTGTTGCTTATAAATTACGGATTATTATTTATATTTCGGATATTTATTTGCGTTACTATTATCTTGCTCCAGCCAATTGTACTTTTTATATTGTTGTACTTTGTGAATATTTTTTCACAAAGTACAACAATATAAAAAGTGCCAATTGTACTTTTTATATTATTGTACTTTGTGAATATTTTTAACAGCGAAATAAACTATTAACTAAAAAAAAAAAAAAAAGACCAAAAAAAATTCATTTAACGTTACAAATTATTTCAATTAATTAACAATTTTGATAAAATTTTGATAAGGAATACTAATAATAATTTTCGTAAACTTTTATAGCCTTACCACGTTAAATTTTAAAGTAAAAGTATATGTTATTAATCTATAGTTATATGTATTTACTCTATGTTATTATCATTATTATTATTGCTTTTGTTATTGTTGATGTTGTTATGACTATAACTGTCATTTTTATCATATATTTTTGTTAATATTATAATTGTTTTTATTATTGTTATAATACCTTGTATATTATAACTTAAAACATTTTTTTGGTTAATTCAGTGTTTCTCAAAATGATTGTTGGAATCTTTTTTGGAAAGATGAAACATAAAATATTCAGTTAAAAGTTATAAGAAAAATAATGATTTGAGTTTGTAAATGAACGAGAAAGTTTGAACTTATAATGTAACCAGAGTCTATGTAAGGATTTTCTTATTGAACTTATTGTTCATTAAGAAAATCCTTACATGGACTCTAGTTACATTATAAGTTCAAACTTTCTCGTTCATTTATAAACATTAGATAATAACATAAATTTATCATTGTTTAAATTGTATATTTCTACTATTAATATTTACTTTATATCAATTGAATGAAATACTACATTTTTGCCAAGAGTAGATAAATGCTTAATAAAACTGCATTTAAAAGAATGAGTTTTAACATCTTTTTACAAATAGTGAGAATAGGTCATAAGCAGAAACCACTGAACTAATGAAAATAATCTTGTTTGTAAAGTTTGTAAAATAATTTAATAAAATGTTCAAAAAATTTTGTTTAAAAACTGTATTAAACAAATTTTTGTTAACAAATTTAGACAAAAAAGATGTTGAAAACCGTATATATTCAAGAGATTATCTTCCCGTAAAACCAGACAATTTTATGCAACATCTGCACCATCGTCGTCATCATCATAATGTTCAGCAAGCACAGCGAAGAGACAGCCTGGGGTTTCTTAAAACCTTTACTGAAGAAAATTTTCACTTTAACAAATTATTTAAAGAAAAACTAGAACAACATCGCAATTTAAAAGAAAAAAATTTTATTGGTAGCACCAGGGCTAAAGTTGAGAAACGGAAACCTATTTTAATGGAAAGATATAATGAAGCAGAAGACGATGATAATGTTTACGACGAAGATGAGATGGCTGAAATCAGCCAAAATGAAAATATAGCTTACTCGCCTACTCGGCTACAAAATTCAAAGAAATACAAATATGGTGGTCGAAATTACGGTTATGGAATAAATGTATATGGCAAAAGAAAGCAAAAAGAAATTGAAAATAAAATGCAAAAAAATACCTTTAAAACTTCAAATGATGTTGATGAAGCTTCAACATCTGGTGAAGAATTTGTAAAAACTGATTCACATAAAACAATACCTCAAAACAAAAAAATTCTAAAGAAAGAACAAAAGGTATCAAACAAAAAGTTTTCGTTGCAAACACAAGATTCTCAACACCTAGATGTTCAACAAATGGGCATTCAACAACCTGGTATTCAACAAACGGGTGTTCAAAACCTAGATGTTCAACAACAGGGTGTTCGGAAACATTCCATGAGTACTCACTCGAGTTCTCCAATGAAAAATCTGGCGCATATTCCTATTCTTCCAATTTTACCTTTGCCATTGCTTTACAGCAGCGGCGATCAAGAAACATCTGCATCATCAGGAACAGATGATATAAAATCAACCAATGAGGTAATTGATAACGAACTTGATCGTGCAAAAGTTGTTAAAGAAGTTGATCGAGCAAGAGTTGAGTCTGGTAACGACGACCGTAAAAAAAGAAAGAAGGAAAATCATGTCAGTGGAGATTGGGTAGATAAACTACTTGCAGGTATTAACTATTTTATTTTTACTCAAAGTTTGCACACAATACTGTTGTTTTATTTTTACTCCAAGTTTGCACACAATACTGCAAGCAGATTTTTACTCATGCAATAATAATAAATTTTTATTTTAAGTTTAAAAATAAAAAAATTCTTTTAAACAGCCGATCAGGAAAGTAATGGATTTGATGAAGATGACGATTTTGATGAAGAATCTGAAGAAATCAAACGGTTAGGGAAAAATGTAAATCATGTTGAACATAATTCTTCGCAGCAAAAAACATTTAACACAGTACAAGAGGTTTTAAACCCACAGAATCAACAATCTACACTTCAATCTACACTCCAATCTTCACTTCAACAGACTGGAAACAGTAAATATCAACAGGTTTTGCAGTTCAACGGTGAAAATCGTTTTAGTAATAGAAACGATAACATTGGTAAAACATTTTCTGGAACTTCTAGCCAATCAGTAAACAACCAATACAATTTTAACAGCAATAAAAATAAAAACGTTTCTCTAATTGAAAATAACAATAGTGCAAACAATCCACCAAACAACCAGGTAGCAAGTAACATTGCAAGCATTCATGCTGAACCTTACTACACACAAAACAATGTTCCATCAGAGCAACCTTTTGCCTCACTACCTATACTGTCCAGCAAACCTGCTGGGCCTTCTATTGCTAACAATATTGTTTCTTCTCAATTTCAGAGTGATACTTCATCATCTCAATATTCAAGCAATACTGTATTGCCTCAAACTTCAAGCTACATTCCATCTCCCCAAGCCTTAAGTAATATAGTGTCTCCTCAAATATCAAGCAGTTCTGCTTTACCAGACTTAATTAAAAACCAACCATTTAGCCAAACAAGCTCTCAACAGTATTTGTTTCCGCAAACCTTTAATGACCCCAATACAATACCTTCTGGTACTATACTTTCATCAAATGCTGCACAATTTAATAACAATGCTCAACAGAAATATGATCAATCATTTGAAAATTTAACTTTAAATCAATTTAATTATCCTGGCGCGAGTAACCAATTAAATACTTACACAACAAATGCTGATAAACTTATTGCTGACAACAATATATGGAAGTCTTACACTATACCTTTACTAGGAAATTCTTCCACAATTGAAAACGTTTATATAATACCTCAAGGAAACAATGCTAATAATGTCAATTCTCCACAACTTCTAAGTGACTCAAATATAAATAGCGTTACGTCTTCCAGTATTGTTAACAATTATGGAGTGCAAAATCCAAACATAGTTACTTCTGAAGATCAAAATATATGTGCCTCAAGTTGCCCAATACACTGCGCACCAAGTTGTGATCAAGTTTGCTGTACTAAAGATACTATAGCCTTAGACCAGTCATACATTTCACCTTCAATAAAATATCCGTCACCAAAACCTTTGTTTTTATCTGAACTACATGGTTCTCATTCTCAGCCAATTGGAGCGACGCCAATATTACCAAACAATAATGAAATTATCTCAGGTCCTAATACGTTAATCAATAGACAACCCAATGTGTTTGACTTAACTAAAAATCCACAAAATGATAACTTAATGTTTATGAACGCACAAAATCAAATCTATCCGTCACAGCCTTTGAATCACGTGCCTGATTTTGTTCAACATGATACAAAAGCAGTGCCAGCTATTAGTGGTAACACCAATAACGAATACAATCTGGCTCTTCAAAAAAATAATGTTAATCAACAACTAACTATGACACCATTTGTTAACAAGTTTCAAGGAGCTAATATAATGAATCAGCAATTTTCTAACAGTCCAATTTCAAATCAATCTCCAACCGGCCAAGAAGGAATTTTTCGACCTCTTGATGATAAAAAAACTACATTTTCACTGCAACCAATGAAGCCATACTTTTTAAAAGTTCCATCTTTATCAATAGTTCATTTAAGAAAAGATATTGGGAGTGAAAAAGCGAATAATGTAAAATACCCTAATCCGACATGCTTTAAAGGTTGCAGAACAAATTGCCTTCCTCATTGTTCGAACTACTGTTGTGGTGTAGCCACGAAAAGAAGCAGTATTTCTTTAGGAAAAAATAAAGCAGAAAAAAGAATTTCTTAAAAAAAAATTTTTATAAGACGATTTCAGTCTGAATAAAAAAGTTCGAAAAAAGACTTCTTAATCATGACGTTCGAAAACAGATTTCTTCTCAATCATGACGTTGATTATTGATTGTAGATTGATCGAGATTCTTAAAAACAGATTGTTACTGAAAAGCAAACTCAATCTTGACCAAAACAATGAAATTTTATATTGTGAAATGAAAACTCATAATAACGTTGCGCAAAAATTGAATAAACCTCCAGGCTAAAATGTTAAATTGGACGAGAAATACTAGAAAGAGAATATTACATTATATGAATTTCTGTAATATTTTATAATTATGTATAATATATTATACTTTATATTAAGATAAAAAATATTTTTTAATGTATTATCTGAAGTAATTTCTTTTTTAAAAATAAAAATTTATGAATAATAATATTTTTACACAAAAATTGTTATTTACTTTTTTATTGTTTTAAATTTTGAAAACTTATTTTTAACATATTTTTTTCTTGTGTTTAAACAAACTTTGAATTTTTCAAGTTATTCTGGTTAATTTGCAAGTAATCATGTTTGCAAGTAATCACGTTTGCAAGTAATCATGTTCTAAAAAGTTATCTGATGCATTATAAAGAAAAATTGTCAATCACACAGAAATAAAGAACGTTAAAAGTTACGTTTTTTTTTTTTACCGCGGATCACTCACAAAGATAGATCGTAAAAAAATAAACAAATATTTAAAAGTATATATAATGATATATTGTGTAATGTTGAGTAATTTTATTAAAACTAAAAATTTTCAAATTTTTTAAACAATAAATAATTTATTATTTCTAAATTTTGTACAATTAAAAAAATCAATAAATAAGTTAAAAAAACTCAACAAAAAAAAAATAATTTCAAAAAAAAACTTTGAATCTGTTTTTTTACAGAAAACTTGTTTTAAAACGTAAATCTAAAAATAATAGTAACCAAAAATAAAAACTTTTATAAACCAAACATAAAAAACACTTTAAAAGACACGTTGTTTGAATTGTAAAGTTTAAAAAAAAAAAAAAAATACATCTTTAAGAGTTACTTTTAAAAAATACATCTTTAACAATTGCTGTTATAACGTCTTTTTCAAAAGTAAGTTACATTTTTAACAACTTTAGGAACAGATTAAAATGCAATTTAAATTTTTATTTTTTTCTATTTAACATTAAAAAATTAATTTTACGTTATATTAAAAAGGTTTTTATAAAATTTAGATCAAATACCCATTACATTAATTAGATTTTTGGAATTTGTTCGCTATAACCAAAATGGTGTGCTAATCGCTCTTTATACCAAAATAGAAAATTAATTGCGACTGATAATTTACAGAGTAATTGTGCTGAGAATTACTGGTTTGTCGTTCAGGATGTCAAAATGTTTTATGGGAATAACATTAAGCACGCATTGCATCTACTTGAATAACATTGTAAAAATAATTAATGTTTATGTTATTTTGTATTACCTATGATGACATGAAATATGATGTTTATATCAAGCACGAAGTAAAAAATTTTACTTAAAAATTTTAATAAAACTGAAATCACCAATTAATTAAAAGAAATTGAACATTTCAAACTTTTTGAAAATCCAATATATCAGCAAAAAAATTTTGTTTGAAAACTCATTGGAATTTTATTTGCAACCAACCATAGCAAACCTTTATGTGATGGTTTCAGAAGCAATTTAAAAAGAATAGATTATAATTAAAAAGATAAGAATTCAGAAATCATTAAATTGTTTGGTTAAAATAACTTTAAAGTTACTTATTAAATTTCTCAAGATTTTTAAACTTTATCTTGTCCAGAAATTCATTAGTTCACACCACGCGTTCAAACTACACGCGTTCTAGAAATTCATTAGTTCACACCACGCGTTCAAACTACACGCGTTCTAAAAATTTTTAATCAAAAAAGTAATGATGAAACTGATGACTTAAAGTTATGTATAAAATAATTAATTTTTAGTCAATTTTATGAGTGTGAATCCGTCTCTGTCCTTGTACCATTGATAAAGACAGAGGCAGATTATTAAAAAAAAGATTATTAAGAAAAAACTTTGATTTTTTATTAAAAAGCGTAAGTTAATAAAATACATCAAACAGTTGTTAGTTTGATATATTTTATTAACTTACGTTCTTCAGTAAGTCATTTTAACTTTTATTGTTATCATATAATTCTTCACACTAATAATTTATAACATCAAAATTACTTCCATTGTCAGAAGAATCATTTTTATTATCATCATTATAACAGGCCTTCAGTATTTATTTTTTCTCGGTGTTTCACATACTCTGAGATGAAGACCACGGTTAAGACGTAATTAACAAATAAAATCTAAATTTCTATTATACTTCTTACTGACACTCAATGAGATACAAAAACATTTTTTTTCATCGATATTCCGAAGACACTTAAATGTTGTTTCATTATTTCAATCGAGTGGACTGCTTAAACCATAAATTTGATTAAATTCTGTTTTAAACGAAATATTTCCGGTTTTATCATGAATTCCATAATACATTTGTCCTCCTAAAGTAACCTCATTGGCATTCATAATTAACTTTACAATAAAAATCAAAATATTTGTGCAGAATTTTTATTACATCGTTTCTATTAGCGGGGTGTTTAAAAAAGAATAAATCCCCTGGCTTTGATGACGTTTCTGGTAATATGGTTATCTCAGACAAAAAGTACATTTCCAGACCATTGATTTACATTATAAAAAATTCAATAAATGAAGGGATTTTTCCGAAAGTATTAAAACTGGCAGAAGTATGTCCAATTTACAAAAATAATGATCAATGAAAAATCTCTGATTACAGACCTGTATTAGTACTTCCTGTATTTTCAAAAGTATTTGAACCCGTAATTTAAAATAGAATCTATAAGATTTTAATGAAAATAATTTATTTAACACAAAACAGTTAGGTTTTTTGGAATAACCATTCAACTGAACACGAAATAATCGAACTTTAAATTAAATGTCAATAAATGGTTTAAGGCTAATAACAATCTTGGGTATTAAACTCTCCCTTAGGCTTCCCTCTCCCTAAAGCTAATAGTAAACTCAAATAATAAACTCTCCCTCAGTGCCATTGGAGAGGCTTTGCTCTCCCTCGATGTAGATAAAACAAAATATACATTATTCCTTAAAAAATTGATGAAAACCTAACTTTAAAATGATAAACTAATTGAAAAAAATGAGTCAATAAAATTCTTAGGAATTGATAATATAAATTACATTAAATCAAAAATTAGTAAAAAATTTGTTTTGACCGAGTTGTAACATTAACCGAATTGTAACATCAACCGAATTGTCTGTATGTAACACCAGATTCTTTGAAACTATTAAAAACATCAGAATATTTGAAACTATTAAAAACATTAGAATAAAATACATATAATAAGAACTAAAAATTTTGTAAACTTTGCAATAAGAATACCTTGAGAGAAGACCTTGTCGTTGAGATCAGGGTTAGGGTTATGGTTAATATTTACTACTCCAATATTACACGGTCTAGTACTCAAACAATAAAATTAAAAAATATTTTCTCTACAAAAACATGCAAGATAAATGACACATAACAAAAAAAAAAAAATAAATGAAACTTAAAAACTATTTATAAAAGAAATGCAAACAATGAATATATATGAAATCAATATTTACCAAAATTTAACTTTTATGTACAAGGGATACTGGGGAGACTAGACACAGAAAGAGGATGGATACTTCAAAATATTCTACCTTGTTAATATTAGAACAATGTTGTCTATGGTCGATATGTTGGTAAACATACGCTCTTAGCTTTAAATTAGTAAGGTAATGGTTTCCCGCTAAAAAAAAAAAAGATTTTAGAGTGAAAAAACAATTTTTGGGTTCTTTGATCTAAAATTTTTAATTCCAAGTTAATCATTCAGATTCTAGTTATAAACTCTTCAAGTGTTGATGATGATGCAATTATTTTAATGATTATGATGCAAATATTTTAATGATGATGATGCAATTATTTTAATGATGATGATGCAATTATTTTAATGATGATGCTATTATTTCAATGATGATGATGCAATTATTTTAATGATGATGATGCAATTATTTTAATGATGATGATGCAATTGTTTTAAGAGCAAAGGATTACCTGCAGACCTATGGGAATGTCAGTATTTATAATCTATAAATGAGTTTGAAACAACTTCCTTAATTTTTTCAACACACCCCTGGAGAGACTTTTATTATGGGGATTTATTATGGGAAGCTATCCAAATTTATTATTTGAAATTATTATGGGGAGACTTTTGACATTTTGGAGAAATTGATGCTTTTGTAATGATTGCTTAATAATAATTACCTAATTTATAAAGTTTTGTAAATTTCTATTTGCACAATTATTAACGAAAGCAATACCATAATTCCCTTGTACACTGCGCTACATAATGATAAGACACCCCAAAAATATTTATAAAACTCTAATACACATTTATATTTAAAAACTATTTTTTATTGTAAATGAAAGCAAAGGGTTTACAACACTAAACAACATTTTAACAAATTTATTTTTAAAATAAACCGTTTTTTCACTGCGACAAAATTATAAGACAGTTTTACAAAATATGTTTTATTTGCAAACCGTAGGGCAATTAACAATATTTATTTGATCTAAACACCGCAGACAATTATTTAACTGTAAACATTTGTGAACTGTGAAAAACTTGGTTTAGTATTTTTTTTATTAAGTATAAAATAAGAAATTAATTAATAAAGGGTCATCGCTGCATCGTTCAGCCCAGATGCAAAAAAAGTGCTCTTTAACTTATCAAAAATGGGTCACTCCGTTAGTTAGATGGTTAGAGCTAAAATGGGTCACTCCGTTAGTTAGATGGTTAGAGCTAAAATGGGTCACTCCGTTAGTTAGATGGTTAGAGCTAAAATAGGTCACTCCGTTAGTTAGATGGTTAGGGCTATTGGACACAGCCGAACTATGATTAAAAACTACGTGTATAGTCCTCATATGTATGGAATAAAATAAAGTCCCGGACGTCTATCAACATTAAATGACCGTGATAGGCGAAGATTGTTAAGACAAGCTTCAAATTTTATATTAACTGCACGTCAAATTGCTGCAGAAGCAGATGCGATTGCTATTTTACGTACAGTTCAGCGAGTTATTCATAATGCTTTTCACCTTTTGCGCAAAAACTTCCGCCAAAACTACCTTTGACAAAAAAATCACATAAACAATCTAATAACTTTTGAAAAGGACCACGTAACATGGAATGAAGAATAGAAACAAGTAGCATTTTCTGACAAGAAACGATTTTATCTTAATGGGCCAGATAGATGGA